CTTCCGATCYTTCCCCTTCCCCTTCCCCTTCCCCCACCCATCTAGCTTTACCAAAGCTGACGACTACCCCAAAGCAAACCCATGCAAAATCCCCTCCCTCCCCCAGATCGACATCATAGCCATCTCGCACAACCACTACGACCACCTCGACCTGCCCACCCTCTCCTCCGTCTTCGCTTCGCAAAAGGAAACGTATGGCTCGGAGCCGGTGCTGTTTTTGCCGTTGAATAATCGGCATGTGGTGTCGGGGTTGGGGTTGGGTGGCGGGAAGGAGGGGGGAGGTGGAGGGAGGGGAGAGGGGAAGGTTATAGAGCTGGATTGGTGGGAGGGGAGGAGGGTTGTTGTTGATGGTGTTGGGGAGGTGGAGATGACTTGTAGTACGTTCCCTCTCTCCCTCTCTCACTCTCTCCCTCTCTTCCTCTCTCCCAGATTCCCCGCTTCTCTCTTCCGTTCCCATAGTCCCCTTTGAGCGTGATACCGAGCTGACATTTCTTGAATACGTCAGCCCCATGCCAACACACCTCCGCTCGGTATCCCTGGGACAGGGACAAGTCGCTGTGGTCTTCTTGGGTCGCAAAGGATGTCGGGCCTGGGGTGACGAATCCTACTTCCGTACGTCTTCCTCTTACACATTTTCCCCTGCCCTTCTTCCCCTCTTCCCTCCTCCCCTCTTCATCTCTTAACCCATAAACCCATAATTGACCCTCGACCCACAGGTATTCTTCGGCGGCGACACCGGCTACTGCGCCCTCCACTCCCACCCCAACCCCTTCCACCTGCCCCCACCGCCCTCCCTCCCTTACTGCCCCGCCTTCAAAGACATCGGCGATAAACTCGGCCCGTTTACGCTCGGTTTGATCCCTATAGGGGCGTATTTCCCGACAGAAAGTATGTCGGGGATGCATGTTTCGCCCGGGGATAGTGTAAAAATATTCCAAGATACCGTGAGTCCTCCTCTTTTGCTTGTGATTTTCTTAAGACTCGTCTTCTCGACTTGAAGGATGCAAAGCTGACGATAAAGCGGGGTGGGTAGAAATGTAAACAAGCCCTAGGCATCCACTGGGGTACATTCCGCATGACGCCCGAACGCTTTACCGAACCCCCCGAGATGCTCGCCGCTGCCGTCCGCGAGGCAGGGTTGGATGATGGCGTTTTTGGAGTGTGTGGGATTGGGGAGACGAGGGGGTATAGCTAATGGGTAATTTTCTCGTGTTTGTGAGAGGAGAGGTTGGGGAACTGGGTTGAAGATTATGAGGTGTTTTTACTTGTTTACAGTCGGTAATAGTATGGGTTTGGAGATGAATGTGTGGTACTCGAGTACTGTCTAGCATGTTTCACAAACAGACTGGGTCGGTTACTATACACATGTCGCAAGCCGCCATTGTAGAACTCCGGGACGCCCTTGCGCTCCCCCGCCGCCCTACATATAGGAAAAGACAATCACCTACGGTCGCAGCTATATAAATGGCGTCTTTACTGCTTGACCCACCTACCCCAGCTTCCAGCTCCGAACTCCGAACTCCCAGCTCCCAAGCTCCCAACCCCCAGGTCCGACCCCATATACACCTTCACGTCATTCCTGTGAATCATCGCATTGCATCAAGTGAGTGGTTGCGAGTACGAGTACTGTAAGCTGGTCGTTTAGACGGTAGGTATAGCCCCTTGAAACGATCAGATTGGTGGAGATCCGGTCCCAGGCCTGAGACTGGGCCAAGTTCGGCTTGATCAACACCCGAGACTGACTGAGATAAACGGATGGATGGAGGGATGGGATGGAAGGTCGTTATGCGTCTACTTGTAAAGGGGTTCAAGATGAGCCTGAAGCCAGCAATTTGTCGATTGATTGGTGTATCATATGTGGGCTTGGGAACATCGAAATCGAGCAAGGAAGGAAAGGATGTACGATTACAGGATGACGGAAGGTCAGGAATGCGCTGGAAAGTATGGATAGTGCTGAATAGTGCTGGATGGAGTGATTGGGTTCGTAATTTTGTGTAACGTTGGATGACTTGTGAGAATGTTGATCTTTGAGGAAAAGACGATCGACCAAGATCGGTGCGCTTATCCCCTCAGCATACGGTGTGTATGGAAAAAGACCTATCCTTTTGGGTGACGTATACGCTGCGAGTCGTCTGCAAGTTGGAGAAGTTTTTCATCACCATATTCCCCCGCACGGGCCAAGTGTCACGCTTGGGGAATGCCCTTGACGTGCTGGAGAGAGTTTTGTTGTAAGGGGCAAAAACCTTTTAGTTATTGTCGCATATGAAGAAGAAGAACTATGAAAAAGATTCTGATATGTGTAACAACGGAGAGCACGGTCCACAACACACAACTAATCTATTGAATGAACTAATTACACAGATGGCCCTTTAACCATGACACCAAGATACAAGACTTGCAGTAATGTGTAGTCTTAGGACCGTGGGTCGTGAGACGAACATGTCTGTGCCATGTATATTGTGGGATGTATCAGTTGTCGGTTGATGAAAAACATTGGTTTGTGCACACCAGGTCCCTACTATCCCAATAGACGCTTCCCTTGTGCACAATCTTCAGCCCGTCCCTACCCCGTTACATACTGAATATGAAGGAACGAGGAATTCAGGAGATTCAGTAAATGACACACGTACTGGGGTGCTTCAATATCCATTCGATCGTTTCTACATTCATCGCGAGAATCAAAGACGACGACAGGGAGAACAAGTATAAAGCTCCGTTCCATGTTTAGCAGTCGTGGTCCGCATTTAGATCGTTGTTGCGAGTTGGTCTTCTTTGGATACAAAGGCGGAACTATCTTTACGGGACGGAGATACAATCTACGGGGTGGACAAGTACATAAAAGGCCAGGAAACATTCGGCAATAATGTTGACGCATACTAGAGTATCACAACCCAGATTTCACAATGTCCAACGCAAGCGAAGATCCCATGGTATTGCACGATGAGAACAGCTTTCTCTTTTACAACCCCTCTGCCAACGATTACACCTCATTTCCGACCGATATCCCACACTTTCTCTCCGCCTCTGCGCAGGTCTATGCCGAGAATATGGACACCGACCTCGGATGGCCGGAAAATCAAGAGAACGTGGCACTGGCAGAACCTCCAGCAAGCGCGATAGACAGAGCACGACCTCAGATAGACGGCTGAGCCACCATCAACCGTAACACCCTTGCCAGCTATGAACAAAGCCGGCCAGACTCGTCCCTAAGTGATGTAGAAAAGGCGACCATCGCTTATTGGAACCATCGCGGCAATGTCGCTTCTTGGATCTTGGGCCGCGCTGTTCCAGCGCATGAAGTTCCCCCATCCCTGCGCCAAGATATTACTGCTGCCACCGCAGCCCTTGCTGACAGTCTGTCGGACATGAATATTGCAGGTTTTCCGAATATCATTGTGCGCGACACGGCTGACACACGTGCTGTGCAGACGTTGATCGAGCTTACCGACCTCAACCAAGGCACCCTCGAGAACATTCAGCAACAGGAACAAAGTGAACCTGTCTCTCAGAGGCAGCTGTCGGAGGTACAATATGCTAGTCGCAGGATAAGGCAGATGTATGATGACCAGAGCTGGGGAGAGAAAGGTCCAGAGTTTCAAGAGCTGCTCAGGACATGGAATGAATCAGTTCGGGCTTTACAGGAAGCAGGAATAACCGAACTCCCTGATCCGCCAGAGTAGATTGTGGACGCGGGATCTTGAACCGATTGTTAGAACGTAAAGAAGATGCATAGGCTTCTGCATGCAAAGATTGACATCAGCTGGTTTCTCTCCCGAACAATAATCATCGGGCAGACGAGGGGGCATATATAAAGATCCAGGGGACGGTGTAGTCAAGGCTGGGACTGGATTTGAAATGTGGAGGATAGGAAAATGGTACTCGGTTCATATAACATGTGATTATGGCATATGAGATGGGCGATGCACCCGTAAAAGTAGAACTCCGCGCAGTGGTGACGTGATGCTCGATGGACGAAGATATTCTAATAGAAGGCGTAAAGGTCCCTAGCGGATGGACGACTTGGATATGTCTCGTTTTCAGTGTTGACAGGTGAAGAGACTGTATGTGTTATGCTAGACCCCTGTATCGAACAAGGCTTGGGATTTGTGAGGTTCTAAGCTAGGGTCTTACGAGATAACATCGATGAGGTTCCAGCTGTCACGCAGATACAGTCCTGTAAACGTTCGTTGGATCCTAGTTGGAAAGCCTGACATGATTGTTACACGCCTCAAACTCATCCGTCATTGACAACACGGTATCAGATCATCCCCCTCACTTTTGCCTGCTGCTGCATCTGCGTCCCCACAACCATCATCTGAGCCTGCGCCCTCTCTATACCGCCCTCTGATCCCGTTTCTGCCGCTCCAGCTGCTCCACTATCGACAGGCGTCTTCATGAACGAACACTCCAATAACTGCGGAGCAGTAGGTCGTTTGGTGTGATCAAAGTCGAACGTCTTGTCGAGGAAATCGGCGACTTCGGAAGAGACGTCGGCTGGCGTGGCCGGTTTGGACATTTGTCCGATCTACGCACGTCATTAGTTAATGCGCTTGCAGCGGAGAGAAAGGACGTACCCGGAAAAGAGCCTGCATCTGCGTCAAATCCGCCCAAGGATGTGTCCCAGTCAACATTTCCACCACCAAGCATCCCACGCTCCAAATGTCCGCTTTTGAGGTGTACGACGTCTGCTTGACGACCTCGGGAGCCATCCAAAAGACAGATCCTTGAAGGGATGGTCGATTGGTACGTATGCCTGCAGGGTGTCGGTGAAGAGCAACATACGATAGGAAACGGACTCACTGTTTTCGGCCTTCTTACTGATACCAAAGTCTGAGATTTTGATACCGCCTTTGTTGTCTACCAATATATTCGCCCCCTTGATGTCCCTATGCACAATATCTCTCTCGTGCAAATAGTTCAGACCGGTCAAAATCTGCCTCACAAAGTTTCGAACGAGAGCTTCTTCGAACGCGCCGTAATTGCTAAGGAGAGCGGCGACTGAACCACCGGGAACATACTCGAGGAAAATGTTGAGGTGGTTGGCATCGGCAGACGAGTCTGTGTCCATCAGCGATGCTTGAAAGGTTGGTGAGAACAGACTTACCCAGATACTGCACGATATTCTCGTGCTGCAGCTCTTTCAACAGCCCTATCTCCCTCTCCAATGCCGACAGCATGCTTCTCTTCCGCTCATCATTCTTCTGACTTCCAGTAGACAGTTCAACCTGCTTGACGGCCATGAGAAGACCATTATGAGCGTCCATACCAAGATAGACGCTACCGAAGGATCCGGCACCGATGAGGGCGCCTTTAATCCATTTGATGTTTCGTTTAGCTGAAAGAGTGTCAGCCTGGGATCTTGTCCAAAGAGACGAGTACTCACAGCCTGTGGATGTGAACGCCTTTCCGTGATCCGCTTCGTCTTCATCTTCCACCTCACTCTCACTGTCACTCTCGCTTTCGCTCTCACTCTCACTACTCTCCTCCTCACTCTCAGTGCCCTTGCTTACTTCCCCATCACTCTTCACGTCCGCCGGGGCCCTCGGCGTGACTAGCTCCTCCAGAACCTCCTCCGCTTCTTCCCTGGACTCGCCCACCGGTTCCCCAACCTGTATGCCCGGTACACTGACCATACTCGCCCTCCTCTGCTCCACCTCCGCGGTAATTTCATCCACCGTCAGCAGACTGGCCGTATCGCTCTTGTCCCTATTCTTCCTCAGCTGCGACAGCACCGACACCCTCCTAGCCGCATTGCCAAGACCAGAGGACGATGAGGATGAGTTTTTGCGCATGCGGATCGATTTGGGGCGAGGGTAGGACGGCTCTCGAGGAGAGAAGGCTTGGAGAGAGTCGGTAAGAGAGTCTTGGGGTTCGAACGGGGGTAGCGAAGGCGGTTGACTGATCCGCGGCCCTCTCCTATTCCCACTCGACACCACTTCCTCAGAGATGATCTCTTCTCCCTTCCCGGGTACCACCGCAGGCATCTCTGCTTGGTCTTGCCACCTCGCCTTCGGCCCAGTACTGAGCCGCAGCAGACTATGCCTCGCCTTTTCCACATCCCTCTTCTTCGCACCGGGGAAATAGTCTGTCAAGTGGCTCGAAATGAGCTCGGAAGGCGGTCGATGTCCGAAAAAGTTGTACATTGACTTCTTCTTGTACGGCGGTGTGCCTGAAGACGGTGAACGAGTGTTGGAAGGCGAAGGTGGCACCTCGACATTCGGTACTCCGAGACCAGACATGACACTAATCATACTCGCCCTGTTCAGGCGCTTATTCGACAGAGCTGACGGCTTGAGCGCCGACAGAGGACCACTCCCCGCGCTGCCCGGCTCATCAGGAGACATTGGGGTGCGCTTGTCGGTCGTTATGCCCAGTCGAGGGCCAGGGAAGAAGTTGGGGGATGCAGGGGACATGGGAGGAGGAGGGACGTCGCCGAAGAAGTCGTGGATATTCTTGCGCCGTTGTGGGGGGCGGGCTTGGTGAAGGAAGAGCTCTTTGTCGCGGATGGCAGTTCCGTCTCGGTGTGCTACACAGATGTTGAGGAGGTTGTTTTCGGATAGAGGTTTTGCTGCTTTTGTCAGACCAGACCAAATAGCAGAGAATGTCAAACTCACCTCGTTCATCCGGGTTGCTCTCCACATAAACTCCCCAGCCATCAATCTCCAGATGCCCCTCATGCTCGTCATCACTCTCATGGTCTCTCCCCTTGTACGTCGCCTTCCCTGTCCCCCACTTCCCAAACTTCTTTAGCGCCCTCTCCAGGATCTCGACACCGCTGGCTACTTGGACGACATTGACCGTCCTGGTAGTGCCATCTTCGACATTCACAAACTTGACCAGCTGACGTCGGAGGTCGTCCAAAGAGATGGCATTCGGCGTACCCGTAGACGTCGGCTGGCGGGAGACGGAAGGTCGAACAGGAGTCCTTGAAGCCTCCCCATCTTGCTCCTTCTTCACAGCGTAAGGATGTTTCCCATTCTGCTGATTCATAGGCCTCGGATTCGCCGGCAAGAACTGCTTCTTCTGAGGACTACTCGGCCCGCTCTGGCCGCTACCCGACCTCGACAACGAATCGCCTCTAGGCGGAGGCTTTCCTTGCGATCTCTCCTGGAACGCACGGACCGTGGGCGTAGACAGGCTATCGTGCATTTGCTCTCGAGCGACCATACTGGCATACTCGGCGGCTGAAGAGTGTTCGAGGCGGTCATGGCTAGAATGACTAGAGTCGGGTGGATTGATCGGGCTGGGTGACCGGCGTCCGCCTTCTCGACGTGGAGGAGCGCGGAGGTTCGTAGGCGCCCTATTCGGGGCAGGGACAGAATGCGAGGGTTGGGAAGCTTGTGGTGGGTGGACAGAGTTGGAACGATGAGGAGGGGTCGAAGCGTAGTTCGTCTGATACGCCTGTGGTAAAGCATGGGAAGGCGAGTAACTTTTCAGGTCTAGAGGCGGTGGTCTCGACATATCTAGCCGCCTCGTCGGGTTTGCCCCCGCGCGACTCGCCTGGGTACGGGTGGACGACGAGGGCAAGGGAGGCTTCTCGAGTTCCACCCTCGACAACATCGGCGAGAGGTGTACATTCGGGCTTCCCATCCGGCTCGCCGTCCCCAGCTCTGCCGCCCTCCTCCTCAGCTCCTTGAGCGCCGCCGCCAGCTTGACCCTGTCTCCCAACCTGTTCATCCCTATCTCCTTCATGATCCCAACATCAATATCCAGCAATGTCTTTCCCACTAAATTGTTCTTTTGGAATTCGTTGGCGTATTGGCCAACTTTGTAGTGTTCGAGCCACGCGGCAACCTCGTCGGGACCCCATCGTTCAAGGTAGCTTCGGAAGGATTGTCCCGGGGGAGATATGTAGACTGATGGAGTAGGGGACCGCGAAGAGGAAGCGGCGGCAGATGGGAGAGAGGAGGGATAGTCTCTGTAGACATCACGAGGCGTGATCGCGTAGGGGTGGGGCTGGGACATGATGGGACTGCGCTCCTTGCTGATCTGGGCAGACAGGGATGCGCCGGCGTTTGTATGTGATCTTGGAGACTGGCGCTGAGCTAGGAGAGAGTCTGGTATCGACATGCAAGTTCACTGTCCTAAGGAAATCAGCATCATCCGCGAGATCCGCTTGTCGACCTACAGGAACCCTCGGGAGGACACGTAAAACGAGGCTGATCACTGGGGTCTGGTTTTCGTGAAAGGAATGGCCAAAGGGATCACCTAGATGATGGAATTAGACCCATACAGTCCTCTGGCAAAACGATTGAGCTGATGTAGGTGAGAATGCTGCACTACGCTCGCCATTACCCAGTAGAGGCGGTGCGCTCGGGAGGCCGGTGCAGCTGATGGTCGTACAGGGAAACGCTGGGCAATGAGGGGTACGCCAATGTAGGGGGCGGGAAGGGAGAGGAAGAGGAGGGGAATCTAAGATCTCAGGGTGAATATCGGAGGCGTGGGGGCACGTCGTGGACAGGGAAGAGAAGGAAGAGAGAACAATAACAATCTCAGAGTCACCAGGAACAACAACAAGCGACAACGAGCCTCGAGGCGGTGAACCCCGCAAAGGGGCGCTGGCCAGCTTTGCCTCTTGTTGAATGGCAACTCTAGTGTATGCATTGCCGGACACTAAAATGTGTATCAGTATCAACTCGAGTCTCGTTCAGCAATCAAAACAAGTTGGACATGCAATTGAATAGTATTAAATGTATCACGTGTGCTTTCATGAAAGGCGACATAGCTCAGTTGGGAGAGCGCACGACTGAAGTTCAGTATTTGGATTCCATTCGTGCGGTCCCTGGTTCGATCCCGGGTGGCGCCATCTTTTTGCTTTTTCACTCCCCGTCCTTGTCGGCAGAACCAAATACACTTGTTGGCTGCACCGATGCTTGTCTGTTACCGACCCTGTAGCTGAGGAATAGAGAGTGCAGTGTGTGGATTGATAGGCCGGGTGGGAGCGCATACGCAATGTTGAACAGCCAGAGATAAGTCGTCAAGGCGAGGGCGATGAGTGTGGTTGAGGCTATGTAGAGCGGGGACAGGTCATCTAGGGCGGCGAGGAGGTGGGCGGCGAGGCCATCGAGGGTACCCATGGTGAGCCAGATGGAGATGCAGAAGAGAAATGGAGATAGAACTAAGGAGATTTATAGACGTGGCGCAGATCTCACAGAAGGAAGCAAACCAAGGCCCGTGCGGAATTGGAATCCAGATGCGTACATGAGGTCGCGAAACGCCTCTCCCCGAGTACTTGTAGCCGATACATGGTGGTACGGGAAGCTGTGACAGTGTCATGCGTATATGCATACTGCAGCTAGCAGACTTGAAGCGCATCATCTCCCAAACTATCCCACAGTCAGCACAAAACTCTTTCCTCGTACGTTGTGAAGCTTGTGAAGTACTCACCAGTCTTTCCGTTACCCATCCCGTCCACCCCGGCTGCCCCTCCGGCTCATCCCACGCATACTCATTCCCACTCTTGGCCGCCTTCACCACAGCCTGCGGTACCGGTTTCGGCCTCAGAATCGACGCATTCTGCACCCTGATCGGCGTCCCAGCAGCCGGCGGGGGTACCACCACAGCCTCGCCTCCTTCCGCTGCTGCTCCAGCATTAAACCCCTCCATACTACCTCCATTGCCGACTTTGAAGCCGATCATCCACTTGCCTTGGATGATGTCGCCGTGGCGCCGGAGAGCGTACGATGCAGCGAGGGGGGTGGCGAATTCGACAATGTACCAGTTGGAGCCTTCGGGGCCGGGATGGTAGGATTGGACAGTGCCGAATTGGGCGAGGTAGGGCTCGAGGGTGGAGAGGATGGCGGAGGGCGGGCCAAAGATGTAGAGGGAGGTGGTGGTGCGCGTTGGGATGAGCGATGGTGGCGTCGGGAGTCTTCGAATCATCAGAGACAGTTCAGCTATGAGAATATGACACTCACTCATTGGTGGCGAGCACAGGTGCGCTCCTAGTGTCCGTCACGCTATCTCTCAGGCTCGCTGTCGGGGGCATATCTTCGTCCATGGCGTTGGGGTTGTACGAGGAGCCGAGTACGCTGCTCTGGTGGGCCAGCGTTCGTGCCCGGGTGGTGTGTCGTGGAGAGTTCCTGCACATACCTGTCAGCAGAGTACTCTTTGCGACATTCGGTGTATGGTCATGGTCAGGCCAGAGACACGAGCCCCTCGTCTGCCATACAATCGATAACGCCCGTTGGGGAATCGTCATCCAAACTTCACCAATGGCAAGCACCAAGAAAATCGTCGCCCCCGTGAGTCGACCCCCCTCCACAGAAAAACACACTCACGCCTCATGCACCGAACCACTCAATCTCCCCTGCGGACTCCTCCTCTCCCCTTGCGGACTCCCCACATACCCCCCATACGTACTCATCCCCCCCGTCGGGCTCGTCCCCAGCGTCATCTTGCCCGCCTGGGACGACGCAAAAGAAGGCAAGAATTTGATGGCATCGGCGGCTTTGGCGTCTTCGGGGTCGAGCTCGTCGCCCGCGGTGGGGGCGTACCGGGATTGGCGCAGGGATTGGGAGCGGGTGAGGTTGGGGGTGGGGGCGGTGCGGGAGGGGGTGGACCACCAATCGTTGGACATATTGAGGGGGTGCTGGTGGGGATAGAGATGGGCAGAAGAGATGGAGAAAGAGAAGAGTTGCCGCGAGTTCGTTGTATTTGGACGCGGATGTTTTTCTATCTCCCATTTGATCCCGCTATTACTGCCTGCGGAGCCTGCCCATCATTAGAACCTGACTCGAACTCTCCGATTTCTCGACTATGCAATTCTTTCATTGCTATAGCAGGGATGGCTAACCATGGGCATGGTGCCATCCCGCTCTCTGGTCCTCGTAAAACACCCATCACCAGTCAACCTGTGAACAGCAAGCACAAGCGGCAGGAGGCGACGAAAGGCAGTAGAGAAATACATCACTCAACAGCAAACATGTACATAGCATCTGCCCTGTCCCCACTTTCCGCATCAAGTCACCCTCCCATTGATTTTCGCACTAGCAAGCCCCGCCGCAGCTTCCACTTTCGCCCATACCCAATCATCCCTCTCCCTCTCCTGCTTCTCCCTTTCCCTCTTCTCCCTCTCTCGTTCCCTCTCCAACTCTCCGCCCGCAGCCACCATAGCCAGCCCTTCCAGCCCGCCTAAAGCTTCAAAGTTTTCGAAATTTTCGTACCCCTGCTGAGCTTGCTGCTGCGAGGGCGAGGGGTTAAAATGTTCCCCTCCTCCAACATTATACCTGCGGCCCTGGGCGGGATGAGAGTAAGAAGGAGGTGGTGGTTCGGCAGAGTGGCGGAGAGCCGATACAGGAGAAAAGGGCGGGAACACCCCCTCATGCTCAGCCGCAGTATGCGCATCTGTAAGTGTATGATGGCTCAACACACCCGTCGAATGGTCCGGATATCCGGTGAAAGACGGTAAACCATGAGAATAAGCGTATGGATCTGCCCCCGTGAGGGTATCGTGCGTGAGGCTATCGTGCCGTTGATGGTCATGGTACCCAGTGTTTGGATACGAGTAGGATACAGGGCTAGGAAGGGGATTGGGGGTGGGCAGAGCGAGAGGTGTGGAAGTGCGGATGGGGAGGGCGTCGGAGGGCCATGGGAAGAGGTTGGCTCGTTTTTCGAGGGAATCGACCAAGTCCTGCAATCGCACATCACCATGAGCTGGCGTCCCACACTTCTGAAACGGAATGCGCCTACTTTTCCGAGATCTGGGACAAATCCTCCAGCTCCTTGTTCACCCTGCCCAAAAACCACAAACAACCCGTCATACCCCGGCGCCCAATCCGCCACCTTCCCTCCACCCGCTTCTCCCCGGGCGCTGGACCCGGGCCTGACCAAATCAGTATACGACCCCATCCTCGTATCCACCACATTCACATCCACCCCTCTCAGCTCGGGGAATATCTGTGAGATGGCATTCCGGATGATGAGCAACGTGGCTATGGGCAGAGAGGTGGGGAGAGGTTTAGAGGGATTGCAAGAGGTTTGAGGTCTGGAGTTGGTGGGGATGGGGTTTGAGAGAGTGGTGGGGCTGGAAAGAGGGAGAGGGATGGGGAATGATGATTTGGTGGTTAAAGGGGACTGGGAGAGAGGGGGTTTGGTGGCTTTCGGACCACTACGGTCTGGCTTCTTGTCAGCTCTCCTCGCCCTGATCATGCCCTTTTCAATCAGTTGCTAGACGTACATCCGAATGTGATTGTACCGTCTTCCTTTCTTGGCGATCCGTAGAACCTGTTTAAGAATCATGTCAGGTCAATCCAGCATGAACGTGAAATGTGGACTTGCCTGCCTCGATCGATACCACCCGGCAATGCGAGTCTGTATGTCCAAGCCGGACACCGCTCTGACGAGAACTGTATCGAGATCATCAGCCACCATCCCATCTTATGTCGCAGAGGCAATCAGACAAGACACTCACTTTGTCCCACAAATCCGGCCGATCTGTCGGTAATTGGATGATAACCTCCGACCCCATCGTCCGTTCTACCAGCTCATCTACTTCTGGTACCAAATTCGACGTACAGCCCCCACCTGTCCAAGTCAGTACGCACACCACGAGCTGAAAGAGATGGAACTTACAAGCCAAGATGACGAAATCTGCATCATGCACTTTCCCATCCCCCGTCTTCACCGCCCTCACTTTCTTCGTCTTACCCTGCCCCTCCGGACTCCCCCTCCGACTCCTCCTCACACCCTCCCAACGAAGCACTTCGTCCACTCTCCCTCTAGCCCCACCAGAAATAAAGTTGACACCAGCTTGGGAGCAGAGGTGCCGGAGCCAGAGTTGAGTTTTGGGGGCGTTGGTGGAGCCGGATGAGATGTTGAGGAAACCGTTCGTTAGGGGATGGTTGGGATCGGGGTTGGGGTGGTCGAATAGTTGGGCCTTTTGGATCCAATGGGAGGAGGGGTTTAGGGATGCGCTGGTTCGCAGACGGGCCATATCTATCGGGTCGCGCTGCATCCAAAAACTTTAGTTTTTGCCTTCGCTCATGGTATTGCCAAAAGTTACTCACGATCACGTATATGGTAGCCCTCCCACCGGCGGCTTTATGAGCATCTACTGTAACTCTGTCTTTTGCAGACAGTGTCAACCCTCGGCTGATACTGAGAAAGCCGCAAGGGGAGAATAGTCTGTCGGAAGGGTTGAGCCCTGGGGGAAGGAGGTGCGCGGGGGTGGAGGCGATTTGGGTGTTCCACTGTTTCCAGAGTGGAAGGGAGCTTCCATTGAGTGTTTCGTGGGCTGTCTTGTTTCTGATGTACTCCCATTAGTTATACGAATAGCAGCCAAATCTTCAAGAACCTACCGGGGATAACGATACGCCGCATCTACATCCCTGTCCCCGTGTACATTATACTCGCCCGCTTCCTCATGATATTGCTCGTCGAATACAGTGACGTGTTTGTATCCTCTCTGTTTGAGATTGAGGGATATTGTGAGACCAAAGATACCTGAGAAGATAAGCTAGTTATTGGAGAAATAGAGCGATGGTAGATGGGAACGCACCTGCTCCGACGATGGCGATGTGGCTGTTGGGTGTTGTCATCTGTTTCTGTAGTGATCTGGACCGAATCTACCACTGTTGGACGTAGACAGTATACTCAAGTCGCGTACTTGCCGCTCAGAAGTCGATGAAAAGGCGAAGGGTCTAGGATGGCTGGTCGGGACACCGAAAGGCAGCAAGTTTTCTAGAGCAAAGGCGGGGCGGCGCAGAGCGCGGGGGATGGCGAGTGGGGACAGACGTAAAGTGCGCGTCCTGCTGTGTGTGCTACCCGGGATAGTCGAAGAAGTGTCCATGAAGACTCTCTGCAATGTGCTGGAGACGAGAGCAACAAATACACGCAATTTGTAAAACCACAACAGAGTTGACGTGATGCGTGATCATGCGTGCCTGGGCTCGAAAACACCCGCCGCCGGCAAAGTCGCTTCAGCCAACGAGCCTCTTCTGGTGGTCTGCTCTATGCATGGTGTATGGATGCCAGTCATGGGCTGAGACCAAGGAGCCTATGTACACGATGCATACATCCAAGACGCTTGCTTTGCATGAGCGAAAAACGATAAAGGTGGCTGGCGTCCGATGCGCGCAAGTAGAGACCGAGATATGATAACGCTAATCCATTTTGCCATGGTAACGAGATCGCTCATCATCTCTTTCCATTCAGCCGGGCTGTCATATGTCGAAAAGTCACGTCTCACGCTTCTCATGCAGTCAACCAGTCATGAAAGACGCCGAGGGGTATCTGGCCGAGGCTGAGTGGTCCAGCAGCATGCCGTCTACAAATAGACATGGTCGTTCACGGCGGTCCCCCACTTCTTCTGATTCTGATTCATTTTGGCGACAATGTCATACCCGGACGACAGCAAAGACGTCTTTGTGGACGAAAACCCCGACACTTTTACGTCTATCGTAGAGCAAGACATTCTCGTCAAATATGATTTCACCGACTCTGAAAACCGGGCACTCGTCCGCAAACTCGACTGGCACATCCTCCCCTACCTCTGGTGTAGGTCCCCTTTTTCCATTCCACCTCCCATTCTTTACCATGTTCACATTCAAATAGGGGCATACATATTCAACTCTCTCGATCGATCCAACGTATCCAACGCTAAATCCGACGGCATGACCACCGACCTCCATTTTCCCGACGAAGGCTATTCTCTCATGCTAACCATCTTTCTCGTGCCGTTCTGCTTGTTGGCGGTACCGAGTATGATGTTGACGCGAAAGGTCGGGCCTAGGTGGACCGTGCCGGGGTATATGATAGGGTGGGGGAGTATGGCCATGATCAACGCGGGGTGTAAGAATTTTGGCGGGGTTCTGGCTGTCAGATTATGTCAGTTCTCTCCTTTTTCTACACTGACCACGGAGAAAACGGTGCTGACAGGTCATAGTGCTGGGAGCTTTCGAATCAGGCTTCGCAGCAAGCTTGATCTACTACCTCACAACCTTCTATACCCGCGGCGAGCTAGGCAAACGCATCGCAGTCTTTTACTCGTGCAACGCCCTCTCTGGCGCATTCTCCGGGCTCATCGCTTACGGTGTTTTCCAAATGAAATCATCCCTCCACGGTTGGCAAATCCTCTTTCTCATTGAGGGCGCTTTTACTGTTGGTTTTGCGGTGGTCACAGCTTTAATGTTGCCCTGGTCTATCAATTCTGCGCGTTTCTTGAGTGAGAGGGAGAAGGAGGTGGGGAGGATGAGGGTCTTGAAGGATGGAAGTTCTGAAACGGGGACAAAGTTTAATTTCATGGCGTTCTTTGAACCGCTAAAAGACAAGAGGTTTTGGGCATTTGCTTGTATCGGTACGCAGCTTCACACCTTCTTGACAAATTGCTCAACTGACACACTACTAGCATTGACATATGGCTGCGCCTCCTCCATGGCCGGAAACTTTCTCACCCAGATCGTCGGCCGCTTCGGCTTCTCCACCGTCAAAACCAACCTCTACACTGTCGCTCCTTACATTACCGGTACCATCGTCCTCCTCATCACATCCTATTCATCCGACTATTATCGTGAACGCACTTTTCATTTAGCTTCGGCACTGGTCTGGGTTATGGCGGGGTGCCTGGTGCTGGTCAAGATCCCGGTGGAGAGCGTGGGAGTGGGGTATTTTGCAGTGTTTTTGATTACGGCAGGGGCGTTTACGCCGCCGGTGTTGTTCCACACTTGGCATCAGAACAACGATTCATCAGAGGACGGGCGTGCATTCAGAGTCGCTACATTCAGTACGTCTTCTCTCATTCTCTCAAATCCACACAAAGCTGACAATCCCCAGCCCTCTTGGCCAATACAGGCGGTTTTGTCTCCGCCAACATATTTCTCGACAAATGGTCCCCTGCTTATCGCATCCCCCTCTCCATAACATGCGGTCTTGAAGGTCTCGGTCTTATCTTGATCATAGGGCTGGGAGTGTGGATGAGGAGAGATAACAAGAGGAGAAATGAACAGCAAGGGGTGCAGTGGGGGAGTGAGGATGTGCCGACGGAGGCTCTGAAGGAAGGGCCGAGGAATTTGAGTTATCGACATTTTGTCTGAGGATATGTATGTCACGGCCTGCTGGGACGCAGCAGGGGGGAGGACTGGAAAAGGTGATTTTGGAAGGGAAAAGACCTTTTCGCTATTATCGCATAGAGAAAGAGTAGACAATGAGATATGAATTGAGTATGTACACCGCACGTCCTTCAACCATCCACACAACTCAGCGCCAAAGCCACTTCAGGGAATTACTACGTGTGACAATGTACAAGCACAGTACAGTATTTAGATGAGGGCAATATGGGATATATGGATGGCGTTGTGTATATGAGAACCAAATAAAGGGGTTGTGGTTCAGGTGGAAAGGGCCGAAGGGGTCGGGCCTCATCAACGGGATCGAAGCCGATACTGGACCGCCGCGAGGCCACGCTGCTCCGAGGGCAAATACCATAACAGACTGGTAAGATGATGTACCCTTGGTGCCCTGGTACGTGAGAGATCATACATAGCACTTGTATACAATGTCTACATGTGTTTACTACTCCTGAGATCACAGATAGAGGAAACAGCAAGAAGACGTCTCTGAATCGTTTCTTCCGATCTTCGTGATCTCTATGGTTGTTGCCTGCTGCCGGGCTCGTTGTCTCGTGACAACAGACGACAAGAGCGACCGCTTGTTGTCTGACTGCTGACTGGGCATTGCACCTTTTCCTGTTGGGTGATACATTGGAAAAGCCAGTCGATGGGAGCCGATAGGCCTGACGGTCCAATAGACGGAAGGCAATTGGACATTGATCAGTAAAAGGCCGGGATCTCGGGAAGCCATCATGGGGTCCGGCAAATAGGGCTATTTAGCAGCTTTTGCCGTTGTCGTCGGGTATCTCCACTATCTTCCTCATGATATGGCCCGCAGCGGGCCACAGGGACGAGAGAAGAGATGATGTCGTTCTTATTCGATATTTTTGATAAAGAAAGAATACTGATTATCAACATAGCGCACTTACGGTATGATGGTGGCCAAGGTATTCTGGCAGGGCATCAACGAGGATATCCTGTTCACGCGAGTGACGGTTTTCCGAAAACAGGGGCTGTCCACGATGAGGTGGCAAGTGAATCATCGCTGACTGCTTCTTCATGCGACAGGCAATGCTTGACGGCCTCCTCGATTAAGCGAGGCATGCCATCAATCTCATTAGCCACGCAGTCCCTGCCAAGCGATGATATCTCTGTTATCAATAGCGGATGCCAGCCGCTCTGCCATCGCTGATAACGGACTTGGCCGAAGCCGCTGATAAGGCGATAACGGTAGTATCCATCAAGCATATATGGCCATTCTCGTGTATAATGGTCCCATATCCTACCTTTGTACCATCCCAACAACAATGCCCCACTCGGATGACGGCAAAGATGCTTTCGTGGAAGACGATCCCAAGATCGATCCCACAATCGTCAAAGAGCAAGAGGTTCTCGCCGACTATGATTACACAGAGGAAGAGAGCCGGGCCTTGACCCGCAAGCTGGACTGGCATATCCTCCCCTATCTGTGGTGTAAGCCTCTCTCGCCTTTTCACTCCAAGCAGACATCGCTGACAGTCATCAAGGGGCATACATCTTCAACTCCCTCGATCGTTCCAACGTTTCCAATGCCAAGTCCGACGGCATGACTACCGACCTCAATTTTCCCAACGAAGGCTACTCTCTCATGCTCACCATCTTCTTCATTCCCTTCTGCTTGCTCGGTATTCCCGGTGTGATGCTTACGAGGAAGGTGGGGCCAAGATGGACTGTGCCGGGTTACATGATTGGATGGGGAAGTATGGCAGCCATCTGTGCGGCTTGCAAGAACTTTGGATCGATTCTAGCTGTACGGATCTGTGAGTGTTTCCCTACAAGACTGGGCAATACTGACCGCGAATAGTGCTGGGTGCATTTGAAGCCGGTTTTGCAGCCAGTCTGGTCTTCTATCTCACCACCTTCTACACTCGTGGCGAGCTGGGCAGACGTGTCGCAATCTTCTACTCTTGCAATGCCCTTTCCGGCGCCTTTTCCGGACTCATCGCCTACGGCGTCTTCCAGATGGAGTCTTCCTTGCACGGCTGGCAAATCCTCTTCCTCATCGAAGGTGCTTTTACTGTGGGCTTTGGGATGGTCGTGGCAGTGATGCTGCCTTGGTCTGTCGACTCTGCGAGGTTCTTGACAGCGAGGCAGAAGGAAGTGGGCCGACTGAGAATCCTGAGGGACGGTAGTGCGGAGACAGGGACAAAATTCAGTATGTCCGCTTTCTTCAAGCCTGTGAAGGACTGCAAGTTCTGGGTCTTTGCTGGTATCGGTACGTTCGCTTCACGTCCTGTTGGTTCCCCAGCTAACATGGCAATAGGGTTGTCATACGGGACCGCCACCTCCATGGCCAGCAACTTCCTCACCCAGATTGTCTCTCGCTTCGGCTACTCTGTCGTCAAAACCAACCTCTTTACCGTCGCTCCCTATGTCACCGGTACCCTTGTCCTGCTCATCACCTCCTACTCATCCGACCACTATCGTGAACGTGCATTCCACCTCGCTTCCGCGCTGGTATGGGTCATAGTGGGGTGTTTGATATTAGTGGCGATACCGGTTTCGAGTGTGGGGGTGGGCTACTTTGCAGTATTTTTGATTACGGCTGGGGCGTTCACGCCGTCCGTTCTGTTCCATACGTGGCATCAGAATAACGATGCGACGGAAGATGGTCGCGCTTTTAGGGTTGCAGCACTCAGTATGTCCCTAGTCTGTCTCCCTGCTGACTGAACTGACATTTTTTCCACAGCCTTCCTGGCAAACGCTGGTGGATTTGTCTCTTCCAACATCTTCCTCGATAAATGGTCTCCCGCCTACCACATCCCTCTCGCCATTACCTGCGGTATGGAAGGACTTGGCCTCGTCTTGATCATCGGCCTGGGGTTGTGGATGAGGTGGGATAACAAGAGGAGGAATCAGGAGCAGGGAGTGCAATGGTCGTCCGAGGATGTGCCTACAGAGGTATTGAAGGACGGTCCCAGAAATCCGAGTTACAGGCACTTTGTTTGATTTGTTTTGAGCTGTATGTAGGGGGGTTGTAATGGATTGTTTTGTTGTATAGGGAACCAAATATGTCGCTTGTGGATCGCGTCGGACATGGCCGTGATGCCGAGCTGCTAAGCCGTAAGCGCGGCTGAAGCGCGGTCGAGTGGCCGCATGATCCCTGGTCGTATCTTCTTTTCTCCTCTTCACCCCGTGTCGACAACAATCATCAGTTATCCACTGAACGCCTTCAAAATTGGCCGGATTTGCCCCATCGATACCCCGCCCGTTCAGGTTCTCTTCGACAATGGCGCGCCTGCCCTTCACCGTCGCGTCCTGCGCCCCTCTTCCTCCTCAGGTCGTCCAGACACTAGAAGCATCCTTCGACACCTTCATCCACAAACCTCCTTCTTCCTCGACACCGTTCACCCCCGCCGAATTGGCCAAGATCCAAATCTTCTTCACCTCGTACTACGGCATCCCCCAAGCCTCGTTCGACGAGGTGCCAAATTTGAAGCTTGTACAGCTTTGTACGGCTGGAGCAGACAAGGCGCTCAGAGGCGCTTCGGTCGAAGAGTACGTGGGGAAGGTGAAGAGGGGTGAAGATGGTGGGAGGGAAGTGGTGCTGGCAACGGCGGCGGGGACGCATGTCCTGTCGATTCCGAATTATGTGGTGGGGATGGTGATCGCTTTGTTGCATCAATTTCCTCGGCAGATAATCGGTGCTAGAGTAAGCCACTGCCTATAGCAACAACGATGGCAGACAAAGCTGATACTGTATAGGATGAGAGGCGGTGGCTTTCCTCGGAAGAATGCGACATCGACAACAAGCCTTATTACGCGCGGAAAACGTACCAGCGTACTGCTGGCTTTTTGGTGAGCCCCCCCTCACAAGCGACTTACGATGTGCCGATATGATGACTAGGGATATGGATGCCTGGGACGAGAGTCTGCGCGTCTACTAAAAGCACACAATATGCGCATCATAGCCGCCAACACTTCTGGCAAAGCTACCTCGCAAGATGGTTTCATCCTGCCTCACACTGGTGACGTGGATGGTGAGTCTACTATATTATCTGGATATGCGTTTCTCATCAGAGTACAGGATCCCTCCCGGAAGTGTACTACTCTACCAAAGACCCCAAGGCAGTGAAAGAGTTCCTCGGCCAGTGTGATATTTTGGTCTGTTCTTTGCCGAACACGCCCGAGACAAAATACTTTATGAACAAGGAGAGGCTGGGTACGTGTTTATCAAGGCTCTTCCAAGACCTTGCTGACTTGCATCGACATCAGCTATGCTCCCCCAAGGCGCCGTACTCGTCAACGTCGGCCGAGGCTCACTCATCCCCTCCGGTAAGTCCACCCACTCCCAATGACCCACCTCACGTCTGAACCTTTCACAGACGATCTCCTCACGGCCCTTGACACCAATTTATTCGGCGCCGCCATCGACGTGACAGACCCCGAACCCCTGCCTCCCAGCCACCCACTCTGGTCTTATCCGAAATGTATCATTACTCCTCATCTAGCAGGAAATGCAGAGGGGGAGATGGATGTTGCTGCGGAGGTGTTGTTGGAGAACGCTAGGAGGCTGGCTGATGGGAGAGCGCTTGTGAACAAGGTAGAATGGGAGAGGGGTTATTGATCCTATGCCAGTCTCATGAGGGCATGCAATTGGAGACACTCGGAGTATCCAAACTTGATTTGATATATCTGGGATTGTGGAGCGCTCACTATCAACAAGGAAAGAGTGCCATGAAGAGGCTGAACTGTAGGCATTCAATCAACCTTGGTTAAACATCTGAATTCTACGTTGAACGACATCTTGTTTATTTCGCACGCGCGGGCCTCTCTCGTGTTCCCCGGAAGTATTTCATCGTAAAAGATTCCTGCAATTGTATCTCCATTTCTAACCTCCTCTCCATTTCTAACCTCCTCTCCATTTCTAACCTCCTCTCCATTTTGTTAGAGTCGCCCATCATGAACGCTTGGGACTTCCTCACTTGTCTCCCAACCATCCTCCTGACCCGCCTCCCCCCGCTCTCGCTTGCTGCAGTCGTCCTTCCTCCCGTCCTCTTTGCGGCATACCTCTGGCTGTACCCCATTTCATATGCAAGAAATCCTTACCGCAACCTTCCGGGTGTGTCCACGTCCACGGACAAGACATCATCGCCTTGTACACAGCCAGGTCTCGCCTTCGGTGCCGGGAAGCGCGCCCAGAGCTATGAGCAAAGCTCACAAAAATCGGGGCTTCCCTTGGAATCTACCAGAATCGCAACTCAGGTAAGAAACCTATCGTCTTCGCTGTTGAGATTGACTGCTGGCGCATCTGATTCGAATTCTTAGGCAATTTTTGGTTGTCAGACTTGAAAGCGAAAACCAGCTCGACCTACGACAAAGTCTTGGGCAGTTTAGTGTATCGTGGTTTGCCGAGCTGGAGAAGAGTACCCGTGGCAGAAAGAAGTACAAGTCTACCATGGATTTATATTGCGAGTGAGTCTTGCTTTTGTTTTGGCGACATAACTCTATGATCTGACAAAGGGGTAGACGAGCAGACTTGCCATCCCCGGAGCTTGTGCCAGGAGCTGCTCCGGATCTGACGTCGGATCTGGCGAACTGTATGACGAGGCGGACTGAAGAGTATCTCGACGGCTTGCTGCCGCCGCCCTCCCCTTCCTCGTAGACGCGTGCATGGTGGTATGTGCATGACGAACAAGTGTGTATAGAATGCAGCCTCGCGTTTGACCCGGTGGACCACTAGCTGCAAGTGACTTGCGGCCATCCAGTACTGTTGGAGAGGCGACTGGATGGCATGTTGAGTGACCCGCGTGCCACTTTATGGCCCCGCGTGCCACTTTATGACGCGCGCCCTCCTTTCGAGTTCTGGGGCTCGTGTTTGTTGTTTCTGCCAGTCCACGGAAGCTTTTCTCGACGATATAAACATTCCATTTGCATCCTCATCTCACTTTCTCTTCTCCATCTCGGTCCACTCAACAAGCAACCAACATGGGCCCTCTCGACAGCGTCACCGCCCACCTCCCCACCGTCCTACGCAACCTTCCCCCTCTCTACAAAGCGTCAGCCACCTTTCTCGCCCTCGCCTTTGCCACCTATCTTTGGCTGTTCCCCATCGCCAACGCACGTATCCCCTTCCGCAACTTGCCCGGTAAGTCCCCCTTACTCTTCCCCCTCATCGGTCAACTGACACCGTCTAGACCCCGGCCCGGGGCACTGGCTCTTAGGACATGTCATCCCCGTCTTGTTTGGCCCCAGTCCAAACTCTGCCAACATCGACTTTCACAAAACCCTCGGCCACACCATCAAATACAGAACCCAGCTCGGCTCTTACGAGGTCTCCACCATCGACCCCACTGCCATCTCCTACGTCCTGAACCACCACCATATCTTTGTCCCCCCCCCCCTCGGAGCGCCAGTGGCTGGAAAGCAGATTGGGTCATGGTCTCATTACGGCTATGGGGGACGATCACAAGCATCAGAGAAGACTCTTGGGTCCGTGCTTTAGTGCAGCATCGATCAAGGAAATGGCGCCAGTGTTTTACGATGTCGCGTACCAACTCTGTGACAAGTTTCGCCAACTAGTCGCCGACAAGAACAATGCCGGTCTTTCTCCTTCTCCACCCAGACCTATTGACGCTGTATCCGGAGGTGCCAAAACCGAAGTCTTGAAGTACATCAACATGGCTACTTTCGACGTCACGGGTCTCGCAGGTTTCGGACATGCTTTTGAGGCCTTGTCGGAAAAGCCGAATAGGCTTACAAGCTGCATGCATAGGTACATTGCGGCATTCTTCGAGGCGAGGCTGTCGGACTATTTGGCTGGGACATATCACATTCAAATTGTGAGTCTTCTTTTCTGACTTACCTGATGCACGTGATGGAAGGACAGGAGCTAATATCCGCTTAGCCAACGGAACACACTCGCACCTTTAACAGGGAAAGGCAAGAAATTCTTGGCTTTGCCAAGGTGGGTTTTTCTTTAGCGTTCAGAAAGTCGTCTAACGCCCCCGAAGAGGATCGCTGGAGAGAGAAAGAACGACATTCTGCAACAGTCTTTCGGAGAGGGTATCAACAAGAAGCAGGATATCGGCAATGATCTGTTCTCTATTCTCAGTGACCTATCTTGAGGTGCACACTCCATAGTGAGCTGACGTTTGCGACAGTCAAAGCCAACATGGCGTTCGACTTGGAACCACACGAGCGCCTCTCCGATGAAGTCCTCGCTGACCAACTTCTGACTTTTGCACGTCCTCATCACCATTCACAACGGCTCGTTGGCTGACGATGGGGCTGTAGCTGGTTGCAGGCAGCGAGACTGTCGCCACCTCTCTCTCAATCTTTCTGAGACTTCTCAGCGAGCACCCCGATGTCCAGAATCGACTTCGTACAGAGCTCGTTTCTGTCGACGATGACCGCCCCCCTGTGTGAGTTGCGCTCTCACAAGGCAAGCCCCATCCGTCGGTGTGCTGATTCCACGATAGGGAAGTGCTGGACAATCTTCCTTACCTCGACGCTTTTGTCCGCGAAGCTCTCCGCTTCTTCCCCGCCGCTCCTTGGGTCCTCCCCAGCGCTACCGGAAACGCCACTGTACCTCTCGGCACGCCCATCAAAGGGAAAGATGGCAAGTTGATTACCAGCTTCAACATAGACGAGCGCTCGTATATCTTTTTACGTGAGCCCATCCTACAGCCCCGATGCCGAACGTTTGCTCTGACTTGGCCGTCATAATTAGCACTCCGCGCCATGAATATTTCTACCACCTTTTGGGGTCCCGATGCCGAGACATTCGACCCCTCGCGCTTCCTCGACCACCGTACCGTAAACATGGCCAAGCTCCCCGGCGTCTATGGCAATATGATATCGTTCCTTGCCGGTCCCCGCAATTGCATTGGATACAGGTTTGCGTTACTACAAATGAAGGTCATGCTGTTTGCCTTGTTGAGAGATTTGGAATTTAGGGAGCTGAAGAGCAAGCCGGAGACGGTGTATAGGCCTTCGTGAGTTTCATCTCAACGTTTTGAAGGGGGCGCCTTCTTTGCGCCAGGGATGGGGAATCATGTAGATCAGTACTGACGCAGATATCCAGGCCGGCGGTACGAGCTTATGTCAAGGGCGAAGAGCATCTCGGGGTTCAAGCTCCTTTGATGGTTATTCCCCTCGACAACTCTGGTCATGTGAGCAAAGACCGATGTTGAATATTACATACATTTGAAGAGATCAACGAGAGGCGATGGACCGACCTATTGGCCTGGGAGATGATACGAGAGGTTACAGATGTTACCTGTTATTGACACTTTCTGACATGTATCTATATCAAGACATGAAACATCGTCCACATCGAGAAGGTCTTTGATGGCGGTCCATTTGACCGATCTGGCCATAACGAGAAGAGACTGTTGGGAGGTGATGAAAGATGTGTCCTGCGATGACGCTTTTTTACACATCCCCTTCCTATCTTCCTGTATTCCTGAGAATCCCCTTGCCTCTCTATATCATCTTTCATGTTTCTGTCCCTCTGGTATTCGCAGAGTTCACCCTTCAAGCCTTTGCTCCCCAACGGAACGCGTCATATCTACTGCAACATTATCTACATGTACTTATGCATGACATAGTGTGAGACTCATATATTGTCCCATTTGTCTCAGTCTCTCTATCTTTTCTCTCCCCGCCAAACTACGGAATAATGTGTTGTACACAACGATACGACTCTTGAAACTCTCGAGGCCGTCAGACCACCTCCTTGTCACGACTAGATCCACCAAGAGGAACCACCATCAGAGGGACTTGAACGCCGAGATGCTCCTCGCCCTTGACGAATGCTCGTACCACCAGCCTGCACATGAGCATCAGTACCGCTCGGTGTCCCTGACAAGACACAAGAAAGAGACTCACGAAATCTTGCTCACCCTCTCTGGCCTACTCCCCAGCTCTCTAAATTCGTGAGCCCTCAACAGCACAAACAACAAGATTTTCAGCTCCATCAACGCCACCCTTTACCCGATACAATTGCGAGGACCGGCCATGAATGTCATCGTATTGCCATAGACGCCGGGAAGCTTGGTCGCTGTCTCTGAGCGGCCGTCGAGGAAGCGGGACGGGTCGAATGTCTCGGCGTCCGGGCCCCAGAATGAGGTAGAGGTGTTGAGGGCGCGAATGGCTATTGACATTTTCTGGTCAGATCATCCATCGGAGACTCAAAGTAGTTCTTCAGGAGTAAGACGATGCTTACGGGTGAACACAAAGGTGGATGAATCAATCGTAAAGCTGTTCATCATCTTTCCATCTTTGCCTTTGACTGGGGTACCGAGGGGCACGGCGACTGGTTCCGTGGCCAGCCTGTACATCCATGGACCAGCTGGGCAGAAGCGCAGGGCTTCACGGACAAAGGCGTCGAGATAGGTGAGACTATCCAGCACTTCCCTATAGTGGCATCAGCACATACTATCCATCATGACTCGGGGGTATGCAGCGTATGAGGAGCAAAAAGAGCTTACGCGGAGGGCCGTTCTTCGTTGACGGACATGAGCTCTTAACGAAGTCGATCCTGGATGTTGGGGTGTTTACCGAGGAGATCGAGAAAGAAGGAAAGTGAAGTGGCGACAGTCTCGCTGCCGGCCACCAACTGCAAGTTTAATCATTGTTAGCGACAGGGAAAAAAGCAGAAAGACGAGTGACAAAGGCTTACAAAGGTCATGATCTGATCAGCAACCACTTCATCCGAAAGGCGCTCGTTTGGCTTCAGATCGGAAGCCATGTTGGCTTTTACTATCCATCACGTCAGCCGATTACCAAATTGGCATAGACCAGAGATCTTACTGAGAATGGAAAGCAGATCCTTGCCAACATCCTGTTTCTTGTGTATACCTTCGCCGTGGGTCTGTTCAAAGATTTGCTCCCTTTTCTCTCTAGCGATCCTCTTCGAAGCGAGGGTTAGAGGAGCAACCGTCTGGGCGCTGAGCAAAGACTCACGTTGGCAAACTCGAGAATCATCTTCCTTGCCTCGTTGATAGTACGATTGCTCTTTGTCGGCTAAGCAAGTATCAGCCATACCCTGGTGTGTCACTGCAAGTGAAGCAAGAAGGAGTACTCACAAGCTGAATACTGTACATTGCAGCCAAAAAGTCTGAAATCCCAGTCTTGAAGAATGCCGCGAGGTAAGAATGCATGCAGTCCGTGAGCGTGTTTGGCTGCTCCGACAAGGCCCTGAACGCATGACCAAACCCTGTAAGGCCCATGACGTCAAACGTGGCCATACCGATGTACTTTAAGACGTCTATCTTGCCGCCTCCGGGTACCGCGTCGATGGGCTTGGGAGGGGATGGAGAAGGAGGACTGGGCGCGCCCTCTCTGTCGACGACCGGACTGCGAAATTTGTCGCTGAGCTCGTAGGCGACGTCGTGAAACACCGGCACCATATCCCTCATTGCCGCTGCACTAAAGCTCGGGCCCATGAGCCTTCTCTGATGCTTGTTATCATCTCCCATAGCGGTCGAGACACCATGGCCGATCCTCCATTCCAGCCACTTGCGCGCCGCCGGGGGTTTGACAAAGATGTTGGGGTTGTTGACAATGTACGAGATGGCAGTGGGGTCGATGGTGGAGACTTCAAAGTTACCGAGCTGGGTCCTGTATTTGATGGTGTGACCGTGAGTCTTGTGGAGGTCGATGTGAGCAGCGTTGGGGGAAGGTGGGTGGAAATTGGCCAGTGCGTGGCCTAGGAGCCAGTGACCCGGGCCGGGGTCTAGATTGTTTCAACTGACAGATGAGGGAGAAGAGTAAGGGGGACTTACCGGGCAGGTTGCGGAAGGGGATGCGTGCGTTGGCAATGGGGAAGAGCCAGAGGTAGGTGGCGAAGGCGAGGGCGAGAAGAGTGGCTGGCGCTTTGTAGAGCGGGGGGAGGTCGCGTAGGACGGTGGGGAGGGTGTCCATGGCGTAGTGTACTCGATGGAGAAGATGAAGAAGATGGAGAAGAGAAAGAGAAATGAGATGCAATTCAGCGGGTATACTCAGCTGTGGGCGGGGACGGGCAGAAGCACACCCCGAAAGGAGGGGCAGCACCCGTCTTCGCACACACATGCAACGTCTTCATGATATAGTATCTAATCGTCCAGCCTGTCTTTCTTCCATCATGTATCAACGAATAATACGAATTATGTTATGCCTCTCGCCATCACTCGTCCTTGTCATGACCAGCGCCGGCGAGGGGGATGACCATCAAAGGGATCTGCACCCCCAAGTGCTCTTCGCCCTTGACATACGCCTGCACCACCGCCCTAGAAAAAACCTCGTCAGCCACCAATCCCCTTCGCTTGAACCACAGAGCTCACGAAGGCCTGTAAACCATCTCCGACCCACTCTTCAACGGCCTAAACTCAAAGTTCCTCAACAGCACAAACAACAGAATCTTCATCTGCTGTATCGCAAACTTGTAGCCGATGCAGTTCCTGGGACCGCCGATAAAGGTCATCAGGTTGCCATACACGCCGGGGACTTTGGTGGAGCTTTTGCCGCCAGTGCCGGTGCCAGGGGTGCGGTCGTCGTCGAGGAATCGGGAGGGGTTGAACGATTCGGCGTCGGGACCCCACAAGGTGGTTGATGTGTTGACGGCGCGGACGGCTAGTAAATGACTGTCAGTCTATCTTTCCACCAGGTGTTAGGGGGGGGGAGGGGTGTGTGTTTGACTCACGGATGAACAACATGTTGACCGTATCCATCTTGAACTCTGTCATCAGCTTGCCATTTTTGCCGATAACGGGTGTGCCCAGGGGTACGGTGGCTTCCTCGGTAGCATGGCGAAAGACGAAAGAAGCGGCAGGGAAGAAACGAAGACATTCCCTCATGACAGCTTCGAGGTAGGGCAAGTTGTCAAGCGTCTCGCTATGCAGAGGTTAGCACACGGTTCCCTCTGACGACTGTAAAATCGAATCCACATAGAGGGGCGTTCTTCGTTGACAGACAAGAGTTCTTTACGAAGCCGATCTTGGACGTCGCTGTGTTGGCTGATGATATCGAGATACAAGGAAACCGAGGTGGCGCTCGTTTCACTACCGGCAACCAACTAATTCCCATTCGTCAGCCACCAAGACGTCAAACAGATATTGTACCCACAAAGGTCAAGATCTGATCAGCCACATCTTCATCCGTCAGACGCTCGTTGGGCTTCATGTCGGACGCCATATTGGCTTTGACTGTCCAACACGTCAGCTCGGTGATGCACAACAATCGACGAAAAGACTCGCTCAGAAGAGAGAGCAGATCCTTGCCGATATCCTGCTTCTTGTTGATCCCTTCGCCGTGAGACTGTTCCAGGATCTCCCTCTTTCTCTCTGCGGCAATCCACTGTACGATCTACGTCAGAGGCGATTTCTGAGGGGAAAAGCCGAAGAGAAACTTACCCTAGCAAACTCGAGAATCTCTTGCTTTTCCTTGTTGACAACGCGATTCTTCTCCGTCGGCTAAACAGGTTTCAGCCTCAAGCACGACAAAACAATGCAATCAAAACACTCACAAGCTGGAACTGATATAGCCCAAAGAGATAGTCCGCCAAACCCGCCGCAAACATGTTTCGAAGAAACCTCTGCATCGAAGCCGTGAGACCATTCTTTCTCTCTGACAAAGCCCCAAACGAATGCCCAAAGCCCGTGAGACCGATAACGTCAAACGTAGACATGTTGAGGTACCTCAAAACATTGACCTTGGCGCCCCCCGGTACAGCGTCGATGGGCTTGGCAGGCGAGGGCGAGAGTGTGTATTCGTCCTTGTGCGCAATCAAACCCTCGAGTTTATCTTTGAGCTCGTACGCGGCATCAAGCATGACCGGTGCCAGCTCCCGAATCGCCGCTGGGCTGAAACTCGGAATCATCGCCTTCCTCTGCTTCTTGTGATGCTCCCCCTCGGCCGTCACTAGCCCATTCCCGATCCTCGAATACAGCCAGTCCCTGAGCGCGGGGGGCTTGACAAAGATGTCGGGGTGGTTGAGGACGTAGGCGATGGCGGTGGGGTCGATGGTGGAGACTTCGAACCGGCCGAGCTGGGTGCGGTACTTGACGGTGGGGCCGTGAGCTTTGTGAAAGGCGATGTTGGTAGCGTTTGGGGTGGGGGAGAGGAAGACGTCCATGAGGTGACCGAGAAGCCAATGACCTGGGCCGGGATCTAAGGGGGTGTCAGTTGACAGAAGAAGCATCGGGGGGGGGGGGGGACAGGGAGGACGTACCGGGCAGGTTTCTGAATGGGGTGCGTGCGTTGGCGATGGGGAAGAGCCAGAGATAGGTCGCCAAGACGAGAGCGAGAAGGGTGGCTGACGCTTTGTAGAGCGGGGGCGCGTCGCGAAGGACGGTGGGGAGGTGGGCGGGGAGGACGTCGAGGGCGCCCATAGTAAGTGGTGCTGCTGGTGGGGGAGTGGAGGAGATGGAGAAGAGAAAGAAAGATGGAGATGCAACTTGAGGGGTGCATACCTTGCGGGAGACGGCCAGAAGCATCGATCCAGATCCCCAAAGGAGGGTCTGCGCGCGTGCTCATCTCGGGCAGGTTGCGCCGCGAAAGGTATCATCCAACATCGCCTCAAAACGTCGCAAAAACAGGGGCTGGCGAGGACCCAAGTATCCAAGTGACTCATCGCAGCCCGGGGGTGTGCCCCTCAGCCGCTTGCAATGGATGCTAATCCTGCTTTTCACAGAGTATGTGGCTGACGCAATGTTTCACCCACCCTCTGATTGCAGCGAGGAAGAAAGATGATCTCGCGATGCATTCTAGAATCCAATACCATCTTGTCGTCTGTGTGCTTCACGTCAGCATCCATTAGATAGATTGTCTGATGCTTCACATGTAGCTAGTGCATACTCGAAACGATATATGGTTAAGTGTGTAACTACGCAGAGACACGGGGTATGGCATATGAGGTAGACCGACACGGTATAGCACAGTGGAAAGAGTTTCCCAGAGAATGTTTTAAAGATGATATAGCACATGATGATGGTGTTATAGGGTCGAAATCTCTACCAAGAATAAGCTACTTTTGTCGTGAGAAGAGATATGAAGTATAATGTATTGCGCAAGACCACGGGAGAATGCGGAAAGGAAGGGTAGGTGTCGAGACGTTTGTAGGGTTTGCTTCAAGCCGACTCGTGTAAGAGTGTAGAAGGATTGATGGAGCGCCAAGGTCTTGTATACGTGCAGCTGAGCTCTTCTCTACGTGTTAGTCAGCCAACAGTAAAGAACAGCTCCAGCTCCAGAAGCACTTACACCAGTTGGGAGACACCTGCCACCTATCCTGGGCCTTGAGCACGCCTCGCAAACCGTTTTCCTCATCTCGCCAAACGTCACTCTTGATCTCATTCACAGGAGGCTTGTTCTCATCTTGGACCTCTCCCATAGACGACTTTGAAGGCTTCTTGCTTGAAATCGGAGAGACATCTTGTTTTATGACTTGAGACGAGATCGGAATCTTGCTGGGTTGGAATATCTGTTTGATGGGAGCATTGACATTAATGAGTTGAGGATTCGAAAGTGGAGTCCAGGGAGACGACGCTTGGGTGCGTGACTTGACAGAGGCGTTCTGGGGTTCGAGCATGTTGCGCATCTGCATGCTAGACTCGGTCATGGGGGCGATAGGCTCGGGATTGGCGGCACCAAATGAGGTCAAAAGATGGGCATCAGAGGCATGTCGGGAAGGAGGTTGACTTCTTGCAGTAAGTGGAGCAGGAAGAGGCGGGTTACCGTGACCAGGATGGAAGGGACCACTACCGACGAATTCCGGCTGGGCACGGTTGTTGATTCGTGAGACGTGCTGGGCGAATCCTTGGCCGAAGGGGTCGAATGGCAGCCTTGTAGTAGGTGAAGTAGGGTTGGACGTGGAGACTGGAACCAAGCGAGGTGCGTAACGCCGAGCGATGAGAGAGCGACCGCCAAGATTGAAACCGTTGGCGGCAATGAGGGCGGTAGCAGAGACAGAGTGGTCGAATTGGACAAGAACTTGAAGCGGGAGAGGCGAGAGGATGCTGACGCGAGTGACTGGTCCGAAATGAGAAAAGATGTCTCGGATGGTGACAGAGTCGGGAAAGTAGCCAGGGTCCTGTTCAGACATCAGCGCAAAGCTCACCAACATGCAGTGGCGACGTACCAGATTTTCCACAATGACAGTGCACTCTTCAGGAGGCTCGTATCGAGCAGGGGCGGTCGGGGGGTGGACGACGCGGTTCGGCATCATGTCTACTACACATTAGCATGATGCACGATCACGATTTGGGAAGAGCACTCACGTCCTGGTCCAAAGTGCTTGGCCTCTCGCTGGACAAGAGCCCAAGAAACGTCCATCTTGAAACCGCTGTGCCAGCTGCCATTCATAGCTCGAGTGGCCTTAACCGCCTCTTGGTGCGTAGACATGAGGACAAAGCCGCTACCGAAAAGTTAGTATGCGCCCTGCAGAGGATTGAGAATAAACTCACCGGCGCCTGCCCATCCCGTCCAGCTGCGAAAGCAAAGTAGAGTGCTCAACCATGCCGAAGGGGGTAAACATCGCCTTGAACTGGACTCTGCAATCATATCAGCATCGTGGGCATTTCTGGAGGTAGAAGAGACTTACTGAGTCATGTCGAGCGGCAACCCCATCACATACAAGTTTCTCGGCAGAGGCCCTTGAGGATCAACATGTCGAAAGCCAAGGCCGACATTGTCTCTCGGGTCGCGGGCCCCCATGGCGGTCGAGGCCGGGTTGGCAAGGCTACCAGCAAAAGGCTCCAAGCTCGTGGTCAAAGTAAAGGGAGCAGAGGCGGGTGGATGGTGCTGATTGTTTTGCGGGGCAAAGGCCGGTGGGCTGGATGGTACGGCTGGGAATGCCGAGAAGAAAGAAGACATGATGCTGCTGTAGGATTCTGGCTCGCGCTGAGGGGGGGTGGGCGGGGTCTTGAGTTCAAACGAGCCGTTGGGGGTGTACTCGGGGCTCGGCGAAGAAGACTGTGGAGCCTTCAAAGATGTTTGTTGGGGCGCTTGGGCTTGGACGAGAGTGCTGCACGGAGTGTCAGGGTATGCCAATGGGCTTCTCAGACAGGCTTACATGCCGCTAGGCGCCAGAGTGCCTTTAAGCTCCAAGCATTTCTGGACGTCGAGCTCGGAAGAGACCCAGATCTGCGCCCAAAGGCGGTCGTTAGTAGATGGATGGAGCAGAACGCCGAGCACTCTGGCTAGTTATCGTCAGCGTTCCATGTATTGGGTATGGGCAGGTTTGATGATGAGAGGAAGGGGGAGGAACTCACCATGCACAGCAAAGAAGTTGACCAAATGATCGGACGTAACTGTTGTCAACACCGTCAGAGCCTGGGTCGTTCGGGTGGTCCGAGCAGGAAGTTGACTCACCAGCAAGGCTCAGGCCATAGGCGCGAAGCTCATACTTGGGGTGACTGGGCTCGGGCAGTGTCTCGGCGTGCGAGTTTTGGACGACATTAGGGGGCGGGGTCGTGGTCGTGGTCGAGGAGGGCATGGTAGATAAGACGCGCACGGGTATACTTTTGGACAGCGACGGAGTGTCTTTTAGGGGCAGGGGTGGATTAATGGGGGGGAGATGGAGATGCAAAGGAGAGATGGAGATACGAATTGGGGAGGAGAAGGTGATGTGGATGGCCGGCGGGGGGTGCCACTAGCCAAAGACAGCCACGTCACTTCCTTTGAGCTCGGGCCCTTGATGATGTTGGGTGACGCCGCCGTGTTCTTATGTGCTTCTCACTAAATGGGGGCACAAAACGACGGGAGGTTGTTTCTATCTGCACGATCTGCCCTCAATTCTACGTTGCTTCCAGCAAGAACGCAAGATGGCGCCAGAACACGGTGCAGCCGCTCACCAGCAGCCCCTCCCGGGCAACGACAAACGCACTTCTCGTGTCACTCAGCCCACCGCCACGACGCGCTCTCTTCCCACACCGTCCCAGCAACGTATGGCGGAGATGGAGGAGAGTGATTATGCCATGTGTTGTTCCCATCTCGCGGTTCCAGTCGCAATTCTGTTGAACCTATTCCAACCTATGATGTGTAAGTCTTGGTACCCTCGCTTCAATTGACGCCGTCCCTCGCCATCCCGTTTTTTCCACACCACTATCTGTTTTCCTCGGCTGATAGTATTGTATCAATTCAGTCTATGCTTTCAACGCCCATTCCCTCCTCACTGCGGTACCTACCTGCACCAGCATCAGAGAAGAGGATGACTCCTACATCTTTAAAGTTCAAGGCCTTTCGGACATGATGCGCGGCGACGAGGCGGTGCCATTCAACATTCGGTACGGCGCAACAATAGGGTGTCAGTCTTTTGATGGAAGGTGACTATCACTCCTCTAGCGACAAAGCAGTCTGTGAAATGCATACTTGCTGACTCGTATTTGTAGCTGTTTCTGCGATACCGACACTCTTCGTCAGCCCAACTTTACCTTCCTCCACATCGATAATCTACCCTCTGGTCTTTTCCCGCTGGACCCTCCATCCCCAGCTTCTTATTCCGCAGTCATGCATCTGCAAATCCAAGTTTCCATCTGGCTGATGGCGGCACTCGTCATGAGTCGGCTGATCGTGAGCCACTCTGCAAACGCGGGAAAAGTATATCTGACGCTTGTTCATAGCACGACCGGCCTAATCGACAGAACGTATTGCTCCACCTCTTCCGCTTCGGCTTCTTCCTCATCACCTTGAGAGAGCTGGTGCAGCTCTGGTACTTTCCATCTTCCTCGACGGTGACCGAGTTCAAGGGACTGCTCGTCAAAAACTGGCGTGAAATCTCCAAAGGCTCCATGACGTTCCACGAGGGGATCCTGGTCACGCACCAAACTTTCGTGCGTGGTCTCGAATTCTTCTCTCGCCGCATTTCTGACAGTGGTCTTCTTTTAGATAACTACAGCTCTGGCTACATGGGTCCCATTGCTGCTTCTCATTGCCGATATTGTGTGCACCGCGTACTCATGGGTGGAAAATCTGGTTGAGCGCTGGAGCAACAAGGACGCTACATTTTATCAGATTGCCGGTGACAAGAGAGAGCACGTCTGAATGACATGAAGACCGGGTGATAAGGGACGCTTGCGATGATTATAGAATTCGGCTCGCATGACGGTTGACAAGGAGTATGAATCAGTAGTATCATGTCACCATGTGGAGGCATACTGGTGGGACAACAGGAAGGCAGCGACTACAAACCGTCGGGCTACCGGTGACCAGAGCGAACACGCTAGAAAGGCTTCAAAGCATGGAAAAAAGAGCAGCTCGAGGGATCATAGGACTTAGCTCTCATAACGGTCGACAAAAAGTTTGAACCAGTAACATGTCCTCGTTGTTTCGTTCTGCATACGATTGAACATGCGTACCCCATCTGTACACGTATCGTACAGGACTTTACAGCCTCTCTAACCATCTATGTCTAATCGAGCTGTTCGATCCGCCTCTTGGCCCGAGCCCGAGATCTGCGCGCCAGTGTCGGCGAAGCAGCGCCCCGTGAGACTCGTTCAACCCCACTCGGCAACACTATCCCCTCCATCTCATCATCTCCTTCTCCTTCTGTAAACCCATCGCCAGCGTCTACAGTCCCACTAGATGGTGAAGGGAATATCATCCCCTCGCTCCCGGAAGCTGAGGCAGTCGGTGAAGGCGTAGAGGAAGAGTCGGAATGTGGTTTGTAGATGAGAATAAGGATGAGGGCGAAGATACACAAGATGAGGAAGAAGATGCACTTCCGTCTTCCTGTTCTTGCTTGATACCTGCTTGTTCGTCAGCTTTGTCGATATAAGTAGGCCAGGTACGCACTTTTGAGCAACCTTCAGTTCTCCTAATCCTTCCGTGATCTGCTGATTGGCCTGCAGCACATTGTACTCCACGCTATCCAATATCGTCCCCTGCTCAACCACCATGTTTCCCAAATCTCGAAACAGCTCTGCTAGTTCCGAAATGGAAGAGGCGATTTGGCTAATTTCGGAGGATCGTTGGTCAATGTCGATCGAGATAGCCGCTTGCGACTTCGATTGGGATTGGAGTTGTGATTGAGACTGGATACGGATTAGCCAGGGCCCGGGAACAACGCAGGCACTCACAGCCTGCTCGTCTTCTTGCAGCTCATCCAAGACATCGCTACCTTTCAACGTGATCGCCCCGCTGGCTACCATCAGGTCTTTGTTTTTGATAGCATGACCTTGGAGCTCTGGCAGACAGGATTACATTAGCTCCCAAGACGAATGTCGAGCTCGCTGAGACTCACTTTGCATATACACCCTCTGTTTCTTCCGGAACTGTCCCGACAGCTCTTGCACCTTCTGTGCCAGCCCTCGTTGCACATTCTTCGCCGTAAGGACTTGCACCCTAGGTGCCCCTTGTGAGGGCCGTACTGAGCCTGTCAGAGAAGTACACCGCCGGAAATCCTACGCAAAAGAATCAGCTCAAGATCCATTACAAATGCGCCGAGCTTTCTTTGGTTATATCCACAGTCTGCCTTTCAATTTCCCTCTCTTCTGCTGAACGATCCGTAAAGCCTGGTAAGACGTGTTTTGCGTGCAGCTTGTCCAGCGCAGCAACTGCAATGCCCGTCGGTCAGTCTCCGCCATCTGACCAGTCCTCTGAACTCACTTTTCAGCTTGGCACGAGCGAGGATCTCCTCTACTTCTTCACTGATATCCACCCTGTTCCCGTATCAGCTCTGTCTCGACTTTGGACGGCGACTAACCATTTCGGTGGCAGTCCCTTCATCCCAACCTCTGTATGTCCCTCCCTCCCTCCAATCAGTCCCTCTTCCTCCTCCCCATCATCCAGGCTAATATGCTGCCCATACTGCCTCTCTGCCCTCTTTGAAGCATTGCGTCCAGATGTCTCGGAGAAGGGGTTTGAATCGCGGACGGAAAGGTAGAAGAGTGTGCGCGAGCGGGTGGTGGGTTCTTGGCTTGAGGAGGCGGTTGCGTATGGACCGGGGGTGCTGGAGTAGGGAGTCGTCGGTGCGGCTGAGCTAGAGGGTGATAGTGGGAGATAGGGGTTGGACATGCTTGGAATGGCGAAGTGGTGTAGGAGTTGCAAGGGGAAGAGGTAATGGACGGGGTGGTGACGTGAATACTGGCCCGATATTTGGTCCCGCCAGGCCAAATCTCTCAAAATCGTCGAGAGCTGTCACCGAGTAATTCAGCTCAAAAGCCTAACATGAATGAGTGCCCAATCCAGCCCGACGGGCATAGAGATCGCAAAGACGCTGGGAATGCACTCACTAACGCTATCAGCGACAGGAGAATCTAATCGGAGTCTGTGAACATCGAGGAAACAGGTGGGGCTCACAGAATAAATTACAAGTGTCGAGATTGCATAGTGTTCTAACCCCGATATAAACGGCTACTGTGGCCTATAGATCAGCGATGTAGAATGTAACGGTCTGGTCGGCGCTCAACCGAATGGATTCATCCCCTTCATCGCCTCGAGCTTTCCAACCCATGACCGCGGCCCTGCCAAAGCCCAGCCTCCCCCTAGTATAGGGTCCAACACCGTTCTCTTCTTGTCATACACACCAAAAGCGTTGTTCTGTCGGCATCTCTCAACGCCTCCAGTTGCTGTTGCCAGAGAGATTTGATCGTATTCATTTTGGATTGAAGCGGCTGGTATAAGTGAGGATGGGTCAGGGACGGCTGATACGAGACGAATACCTGGGGATGATTGAGAGGGGTCCAAAGAAAGGGAGCCCGAAAAGCTTACAGCTCTTCCTCACAATGCCGACTGTGGTTTGTCCTCGCAAGAGCCAGCTGAACCAGGCGCTTATAAATTCCAGTCGGGTCAAAATCCTATTTTGATTCTCGTCTTTGGCCGCTTTTGAGAGCTCTATACATGTCGCTGATATGTTCGCTTCGCTAACGGAACGTCAGCCTCGCGTCTCGGTGGAAGTGGCTGTGGCATTAGCAAAATCAACTCACTGGAGGTTCCGACCAGATCGCCCAAAGTCCGTTGTCCGTCAGCGGCCTGACCTTATCCCTTGCTCGCCGTGCTTCAATGTCTCATCGGCCGTGAGGGGTCTCGAAGAAACCAGGTTCTGGGTCATCTCAGCTTGATCTGGGGGTTGTGATTGAAGAGGACCCGGTATCTGGTCGGTGAGTAAGGGCCCCCTTCACGGTGTTGCATGAATCTTCGTGAGACCCTTGTGTTGCGCACCCTGTCTACACAGGAGGGAAACTCTATTCTGTAGACCCTTCCCATCCCAATCATCCCCTAATTCTTGGCTGGAATGAACGTTGGCTGATGCATGCGGCACACCACCACACTACTACACCACCACATCGTTGTGACGTCAACATTACGTAACACCTAACGCTTGCTCGGCCTCCACTTGCGCGCATCTCCTCTTTCCTCGAGCTGTCTAGCTGTTTTCTCATTCCACCCTTCCCCAAATCAACCCCAATTCGCCAACATGAACCACGGCTACGACTCTGACGGTAGTTTGACTTTCTGAGGAACACGGGTCGTGAAGCTGACACAGTTTGGTAGAGGATTACGATGACTATGCGGCTCCGCCCCAGATTCCGACGCATGGTGGTCCGGGAGGCATCTTCCAGCATCTCATGGCTGGCCTAGGTGGAGGCATGCAAGGATTCGGCCACGCTGCTCCCTCGTACGTTCCTGCTCAGCCTAGCGGCGAGGTTCTATCTCGGGAAGCATGCTGACAGCGAGGCAGGGCGTATGACGACTACTTCAAAGCCTACTCTGTCGCCATGATGAACGGTCGCCGCGAACGTCCCGAACTCTTATACGGCGGCAAGATCATCATGCCCCCTTCCGCCCTCGCAAAGCTTTCCGCCCTCGACCTTCCGTCTCCTTGGACATTTCAGCTGCGCAACCCCAAATCGCCTACGACCCATACCACGCACGCTGGTGTCCTCGAGTTCATCGCGGAGGAGGGGATCGTGCATCTGCCGGCGTGGATGATGCAGACTTTGAATTTGGAGGAGGGTGATCCGATTAGGTTGACGGGGGCGATATTGCCGAAAGGAAAGATGGTTAAGATACAGGCGCAGAGTACGATGTTTTTGGAAGTCGCCGACCCCAAGGCAGTGTGCGTTCTCCTCCCACATACATCAATATGCACTGACAATCAGACAGACTCGAATCCGCCCTCCGATCATACTCTGTCCTGTCCCCTAACGACATTATCGAGATCACCTACAACTCCCTCACATTCGAATTCTTGATCATGGAAGTCACCCCCGCCGGCCCAGGTATATCCGTCATCGACACCGACCTTGAAGTCGACTTTGCCACGCCAAAAGGCTACGTCGAGCCTCCCCGTCCCGAGCCCAAACCCGTACCCACCATGGCAGAGAAGCTCAACATCAACCTGTCTGAAACGCATAGCGCCGGGGCGAGCCGTCCGGGGACGAGTATGAGTCATAGGACTGGGGGGAGTGGGGGGCAGACGCCTTTGGAGAGCTTTACGGGGGTGGGGCAGAGTTTAAGTGGGAAGAAGGTGAAGGGACGGGGGTTGGCGAGGAAGATTGAGGAGGTGGACCCTTCGAGCAAGATCAACCGTAATGAGTATGTCCATTCTTTGTATGTCTGGGTCGATCTGACATATGAGATAGCCGCCCTCAGATCATCACTTCCGAAACGCTTGCAGACGCCGACAGAGTCATCCCCGCTGCCCTCACCCTCCCTCCCGGCAAATTCTTCTTCGGCTTCAAGTACACCCCTTACGACCCCTCCAAAGCGCCCAAAAAGCCCTCTGCCACTTCCGAGCCCGCCCAACCATTCGGTGGGTCCGGCAACAAACTCAAGAGTGGGAAAACCGTTGGAGATAAGGGAAAGGGCAAAGAGAAGGAGAAGGAAGAAGAAGAGACGGAGGAGAAGCCGGACCCATGGGCCAAGCTGGGTGGAGGAAACACTCTCAAAGCGAAGAAGGCGCCTGCGCCGGAGCCGGTCAAGCAGCAGACCAGGCAGGAAGTTATTGATGCGACAATGTTGGATGAGGATGATTTCATGTATGAAGGAGAGGAAGATGAGGATGAAGATGCAGGGTCTGGATGGGAGGGGGATGATGTAATTGAGATCGATGACTCGGATTGAATGGAGCAGATAGAGCAAGGCAGAGACATGTATTGTAGTCATGAACCGCTCTATGACAGATCGCCGAATATAGGATACGCCGTCTTGCCCTCGTTGTTTGGTTCGACCTTACGCACACACGTGCATATGAACCTTCCTACCGCGTACCTCATTACTGTTCAAAACTGAGTTGTGCTTTCGGACTAGTGGTATCCAAGGCCGGCTCGGATCCTTTGGCGAGAGGAACTGAGAAACGAAGCGAGGAGACCGAGCCCCATGACCGAGAGAGATCACAGAGATGAATGAAAGATGCCGTCTCGTGCTGTTCCATGGCTTGCTACTATGGGTTCTGCTTGCTTTTATCGATGCAGATTGTGGTGCCATGCCGTCCATCTTACTCAATTCTGCGAGATGCAGCTTACGCAAGGTCTGCTTTGTATGACATGGCATTTCAATTAACGGAGAGGTAGACCGACCGCCGAGCCTATATGTTCCTTGAAAAGGACAGCTGCACATTGATCGTCGCAAAATCTGGCAAGCGAGAAAATGTGGCTTGGAGCTCGTCATGGCGATCGTCCTGAGGCATTTTCCTAGTGCACGCATGGGGCAATACCAAATGAAAGAGAAGATAGGCGGGTGCTCCATCCATAGCCCAGGAACGAGTTCTCCTCGCGCAGATCTCGAATTCGCGAGCGGACCGCCGTAATGTTTCACTTAATGACACTTACTGTAACGACTCTACTTTTTCTTCTTTCTTTCTCTTTCTCCTTTCTACCTTTACATGCAAAAACGCTTCCTCCCCATCCCCTTCTTCGCCCTTCTTTTCACTGCCCTCTACTTGTACGCCACCACCATGTCCGTCCACCCCACCACCCTCAAGCCCTATGCCGAGCGCATCGACCTCCACACCAACCCCACCGCCCGCAGGATCCTCGAGATCATGGACAGGAAGAAGACCAACTTGGCTGTCAGTGTGGACGTTACCAAGGCTGAGGACGCTTTGGAGGTCGTCAGGAGGGTCGGCAAGAGTGTCTGTATGGTCAAGGTGAGCCTTTCAGCTGTGGAGAGAGGACGGTTCTGACAAGCCGTAGACGCACTGCGATATCATCGAGGACTTTTCAGAAGACTTTGTGAAGAAGCTCACTGCTCTCTCTGAAGAGCTCGAGTTTGTCATCTTTGAGGACCGCAAGTTTGCCGACATCGGTACGCCCATCTCTCACTGTTGTCAACCAGCCTGACCTTCTTTTTACAGGCAACACCGTCTCCCTCCAATACTCTTCCGGCGTCCACAAAATCGCCTCTTGGTCCCACCTTACCAACGCCCACGCCGTCCCCGGTCCCGGCATCATCACCGGCCTCGCCGCCGTCGGCCAGCCCCTCGGCCGCGGTCTCTTGCTCCTCGCAGAGATGTCATCCAAGGGCTCTCTCGCTGTCGGCGACTACACCAAGCAGACTATGAAGATGGCGAGCGATGCCGGGCGGGACTTTGTCGTCGGCTTTATCGCCCAGGGTAGGGTGGATGAAGGTCAGGAGGGCGATTGGTTGATCATGTCTCCTGGTGTCGGGCTTGCGGCCAAGGGAGACAAGCTTGGGCAGCAGTACCGAACGCCTCGAGAGGTCGTGCTGGAGGCTGGTGCGGATGTCATCATTGTTGGCCGAGGGATCTATGGTATTCAGGGTGGGGAGCAGGCTGTGAGGGATGAGGCGGAGCGATACAGGACTGAGGGCTGGAAGGCTTATGAGGAGAGGTTGGCTCGAAAGTAGACACTGACTCGCAAGTATTGTATAGAAGATAGGGGATAGAAAAGTTGAAAGGAACAGGAGTGATCCACAATACTGGATGCATCTAGACAATCACCTGTTGACGATCAAAGCTTGCGTGAGGCCGAGAGCGTCTAGTTGAGGACGGGAGAAACGATACATGGGTTCTACGATCACACTTCTTGTTCTTCTATTCATTCTTTTATATATACACTTCAGTTCTACTGTCCAGCCAACATTATACGTCTCACAACGATCTCCGCATACACTTATACCTAACCAATAGTATAAACAAAGAACATGACCCACGCCACAATGATCAACCCCACCAACTCGGCCCCGACCACCCAAGTAGTCGTCTTACTAATTTTCCACCCCTCATACCCAGACCCCTTTGCCCCAATACCTTCCTCACCTTGACCCCTCTCCACCGCCGCTCGCACAGCATCAATTCGGATCTGAACACGCTTCCTCTCGGGGACGCGGAGGGAAGAGCCGAGCCAGATACGGTCGAGGTAAAAGTAAATAGGCCCGAGCACGACTTCGACGGCTTTGATGGCGATGATAAAGTAGATCATGCCGTCGTATGAGCCGGTGGAAGAGTCATCTTGCTACATACTATATGAGTTTGAAAGAAGATGGAGATGTTGATGGACGTACGATAGCACCGGCAGCGACGTCGAGCACGATAGAGTTGCAGTTGCTGAACGCCTTCCAAACGCCGAAAGCCGTACCGAGCAATCTGTCGTCGCCCACTAGAATGGGAATGGCAGAGAGGAAGGTGATCACGTTGGTGGTGAGGGCGAAAGAAGAGATGATGATAGGACACAGAGGTGTGACTTGTGTGAGACCGATGAGGGCAAAGACAATGATGTACAGGATGGCCGTGAAGGATACTGTTGGATGCATGTGTCAGCGTCCGTGAGTCTAGTAAGATTATAGGCAGCTGATGACTTACCGAAAGCCATCCTGTATCCAAATTTGTCATAGAAGAGCCCGGTAAGAGGCGTTAAAACGATAGGGATGACCTGAGAGATTGCAGAGTTGTAGCCAGCCGCAAGCTTTGAAGTCCCTCTGGTTACGGTTTGGATGTCTGCGAGGTTGGTGGAGTACACGTCGACGGCGGCATTCTGGAATAGCTCTGCCTCACTGTCAGAGGAAAACCTACAGTGGAACGATAGACTTACGAGAGCCGCAGAAGATCCAAAAGAACTTTGGCAACCTCCTCAAGGTCCCCGTACTGCCAAAGATCGTGGCCCAGCCGATCCTCTTTCCCTTCTTGCCCTTGACGACACCAGGTCTGTATACCTTGGGTACTACTTTGCCTTCGTAGAACCAATACGCCAAGATGATCGCCCAGTTGACACCCGAGATGATGGCGGGGATCCAGAGCGCCCAGCCCCAGAAGCCGTTGATCTCTGTCATGGGTACAGCCGTAACTTTAGAGACGACAAAGACGATACGGTTCCAGGCGATATCGAGGGCAAATATGAGAGCGAGGGAGGAGCCGGAGAACCAATGGGTGTAGAGCTTGGACTGGACCGATTCGACCACTGGCGCATATCGTTCAGTTTGTGGCGCGAAAGATGATGGGAGGAGGACGTACCGGAAGACCCGAAACCCATGATGACAAGTCCGCCAATGAGAAGGCTATACTCGTCGGTGTTGGAACACTAATATTCAGGTGAGTCTGGGCCAAGGGTGTAAGAGAAAGAGGCGTACAGCGGCAGCCACAATGTTGCCGACAAAGACAAAAAGCCCGGCGATGACGGCAGTGCTATAGACAGGGTCAGCCCAGTCCAAAAGACAGAACGCGGTAGTCTCACTAAGTAGAACCCCAATAGTCCATGCAGATACCGCCGAGGATGGGGATGATGGTATTGACCAAGCCGGAAGCGCTCGAGATTGTCCCGTACTGCGCATCTGTCCTCATGTCAGTTTTCGAAGGTGTATGTAGGCAAGACGACTCACTCGTAATATCCAGCTGCTTCTTGTAAGTAGACTTGAGTGGACTCCCGATACCCTTGACAAAATCCTTGCCCGTGGCAAAGAACAAGATCAGACAGAACGAGCCAATCTTGTACTTGAGCGGGATGTCCTCTTTGGTAGGCTCACCCTCCCATACATCACTATCGGCGGGATCGCCATCCACCCAGCCGTTGCCTTCTCGAGTCGGAATACCATTGGCCCTCATTGCATCCTTCTCCGCCTCGCCCCCGCCTCTATAAGCCAGCCCAGCATACTTGGGATACTCTCCGCCTACAGTGTCGTATGGCCCCGTGGCGTCTTTCTCGGAGTCGAATGGATTCTGGCTGTCGTCTTCGGTACCAGTCTTTTGGGGGGACGATGTGAGGTCTTTGTTGTTGGCGAGCGGAGAGGAGGGGTTGAAATAGGTGACGGAGGATGGGGCCGGGGAGTGATGCTGATCGGAGCTCATGACTCTTGTCGAATATTGTGGTAAGGGGTATACCTGTGAGACGGCGAAAGGTCTGTACAGCTATTTGGAGCACACGGATGTGGACCAGACTTGATATATATCAGCTAGTAGAAGCTGCTGAGCCGAAATCTGATTTAGTTTCATTGGCCTCTTTTCCTTCATGTCTCGGCCAATACGTACGGTACGAAGGAGATGAAGATTGGGGCACCCACCCCGCAATGGTGACATGACTTCGGCACGAGCAGCCTCTCGCCTTCTCCGGCGAGCATGAGGTCAACTCGGCAAAGCACGTAGTGCTCAAAGGGTATGGCTTCGGTCGAAAGTGACAAGTTCCCATGCTATTTTTCTCTCGGCACCATGCAACATCAATCTCACCCGAACTGTTGAGAGGTGGTCGAATGAGTGATCAGAAGCGATGTTCGGTGATTCTATTGGTACGCAGAGTAGGTATACTTGATTCTGGGGCCAAGGGAAGATGTGGCCCGTGGGCGCCCCCGCGCAGATAGAAGACGGAGATCTTCTTGATTAGATTATTATAAAAAGAACAAGCCTATTTTGAGGCTACAGGCCGTGCCGCTGCGGCAGGCGGCATTCGCATGTGCCTTGGGTCATGCGTGAGATGACAACATCAACTCGTCCAACCGGATGAACGAGCCGCGACATTTCAGCTCATGCCGGTCTGATCTCTGTGTGTATCTCTGGAGACACAGAAGAGCAACGGCATGGCCCAAGTCGAAGCTTTCGGTCGAAACGAGATGCATGAGCAACATCTGAACACGACTGGAGCTCTTTTTAGAACATGGCATCATGGCCGTCTGCTAAGAGATCTAGCATAAATACTAGCAGTTGTAGCGCACATTATCGAAAAGGTCACAACAACGAATGTCCACAGGCACCATCGGATCTGTTCGGAGCTACGGTAATCACGATAAGGTGCTCGGCCGCCGGGGGCTGCGGCGATATGTGGAAGCAAGAAGATTCGAGTGACAGCTGAACTGTACTGATACTCTTTTGTATTCTGGTCCAGGACTGTTGTAATGATACCGTTGCTCACCGGGACAGACATCAGGTGAGGTTTCCTTTCCCCATGATTGAGCACGGTGAATGGCATAGAAGCCGGAGCCACATATAGAACAACGGATGGACTATTTTAGCGAATCAGACATGGGTGTGAGTCTTGCCAAAAGCGAGCAATTCGCGGCTACATCAGACAGATATGCCTCAACTTCTATCCTTCGGGTTCTTTCAAATGCCCGTACCATATAATAATGTAATACCTAACAATTTCATTCTATCTTCGATAGTACAGGGGTTAGTATATCCGCTTTTCAAGGGTATAACTGGTTTCAACCCCGGTTCTTGGTTTTCGCGGACGACCCGGGTTCGAATCCCGGTCGGAGAAGGTACTTTTTGTTTCTTTTTGCTCTATGACCTGCCACCTATCTCGACGTTATCTTATGGTATACCTGCATACGACTGAATACTCAGGCGCGCAAAAGCTTATCGCGCATCAGTGGAAGACAGTTCGAAGACAGACATACATAGACGGTCAGAAAACAGAAGTCAGCTGTTACTTAACAGTGTTTACATATCGAAATATGTCCGATGAGCGGGCAAAAGCTAATCAGACCGTCTCCTGCGCCATGAACCCGGACTTCCCTGCTTCACCCCTGCTCCGTACTTCAGCCCTGCCCCATCTCGGCTATACGTGAAATTGGTCGGACCGTTCAATGCCCAGCGCTAGGCCATCGCCCACTCGCCCTTCCGGTCCGGCACGGATGGCAGCATCACCTCTCAGCAGACTTCCGGGTGGGCAGAACAGGACCGAGGGACCGATATCGATGCTTAAAAGAACTTCTGAGAGGGGCACTGATACCTTCTCATCAGGCCTCTCGACGCACTCTTTCACAGTCCTCACCACAAACCAGAAACACCAACAGCTTTCAAAATGAAGATTGAAGGAAAGGGTGAATAGCTCGCTTTACACTTGGTGGCACGTATATGACTTGTCTCAATAGCTTTCGTCGTGACTGGTGGCATCGGCACCATTGGTGCTGCCACTGCAAAGATTATTGCTGAGAAGGGCGGCTATCCCGTTGTAAGTCACTCCAGAACGATTGGTCGTTTGACTGACGTCTGTATCTAGATCTTTGACGTACTGGAGCCCGCCGTCGGCGAGGCCATGATCAAGGAGCTGCCAAACGGCGACAAGTATTGTTACCAGCGGACCGACGTTTCGAACAAGGAAAGTATCCAAACAGCGATCAAGGAAGCCTTGCAAAAGATCCCCAAGGGCTCCCTGGCAGGAGCTGCTCATTGCGCCGGCATAGCACCGGGAAGACCCTGGACCAACACCATGTCTGACAAGATCGATGTACGTGGCTGGCTCTCTATAACATCTCCGCAGTGAATTGACCTTGCAACCACAGGATTTCGAGAAACTTTTGAAAATCAATACTTATGGAACTTTTGCATTGAATGCGGTGGTGGCCGACGCCATCAGCTCTCAGTACCCTCCCCTCGACCTCTTCCATGACCGTGTGAAGGAGGAGCGTGGGTCTATCGTCAACATTGCCTCCGTCGTGGCCTTCGATCCCCCTGCTCGTTGTCTCACTTACGGACCCTCCAAGAGTAAATCCTTTCACCGAAGAACGAGTGTGTTCAGCGCTGACGTCACGTTTAGCCGCTGTCTTGGGTATCACGAGTGCCGCTGCAGACTATCTCGCCCCAGCCGGTATCCGCGTCAACTCTGTCTCCCCCGCCATGGTCTCCTCCCCCCTCTTGATCCAGGGCGGCCGACTCCCATACTTTGAAGAAGAGATCAACGCCAACATGATGTTCCCTCGACGAATCACCGAAGCTTCAGAAATTGCCGCTGCGATCCTCTTCTTGATTGAGAATCAGATGATGAACGCTTTCCACTTGAAGGTTGATGCGGGGTGGAAGAACGTCAGTAGCTGGGCGGGTGGAGCTGACCGTAAGTAGCGTCTGTTCTGTTGGAATGTGTGAGGCTGATCATTGTATCGCAGCTCGAGCTAGGTCGGTTGTCCTTGAGTAAATGTATATAGAACAAGACAAGAAGTGTATGGAAGACAACAACAATGATGCATACCGGTGAACAAGATGGATCCTTTGGCTATTTCGCCGTTGCATTTTCTTACGAGAACACGACAATGTTTGAGAGAGGTTGTCGCGAGCAAGTCTTACAATTGATCAGCTAGCCATTCCGCTGACGACTCCTCTAGCTTCTCAACACCGTGTCACTACCCTCCACAAAGGCTCCCAGCCGCATACGACTTTCTTCCGACTGGCATTGCTGCCGAGAAGCATGGCCTCAAACTGTTCAAAGTCTTTCTTCGAGACGGAATCTGGAGTCTCGCGACATGGGGGCTGAGATGGAAGCCATGGTAGCGGAGCAACTGCGCCTTCAGCACGTCCGAGTCCGTAATGTTGAGGAACTAGTGCAGCTCTCAGTCGAGGTGGTTTAAGGCAGGACGCTAATAAGTGAGCAACCCATTCCTCCTCTGAAAAACATGCTCTAATGAGGGCAGGCTATTTCAAAAAGGGAACCATATGGCCGCATTGTGGAGATACGTAACGAGATGGTCCATGCTTCTCTTCTACCAGGTCGATGTTTTCCCAAGGACACGCCCCCTGCGACTCAAGCTTGGAGAAATGTAATTCCGACAAAATGTGAACGACGGCCCATTGACACGAGATCGTACAGCGAAGCTTCTCTTTTCAGCAATATGGCAGCATGCCTCGTTAAGGTGTCCGACGACGGAAGTTTAAAAAGCTAGGGAGTGACGCCTCTGTTATATACTGGTCGGACGCAGCTTTCAGAGCCTCGTAAATTGCCTTCGGCATGCGTGAATGCGCCATGGTAAGAACTGTCTACAACGCAGGTATGTCCCATCTTCGTCACACATTTATATGTTACCCCAAATGCTGTCCAGTAAAGCGCTTCCTGAATCTGACCCGCCAAAGATACGTGCAACGCCCATGTCAAAGTGTGACTCCCGCCAATATTGGAACCGTGTGTTCTTATTATGCCACTCAGATCAAAATGTTGGAGAACGTACTTCGGCTGGCTCCTGAGACTTTCCTGCACCGTGGCCACCGTGAGGAATATATGTAAGCTTTGTCATCTGCATCTCCCCTTGGCGACTTGCTCAGACTTCCACAGGCAATCGTCTATTATTGACCCTTCCCCACTCCTCCGGCACTTCCCCAACGTTCCGGATCAAGATCGATGCAGTTCGGGATCTCTGGCAACGGCAAGTGGATGCGTTGCAAGGTGCAGCAGCGGAAGAAATGATGGCTTCGTAGGACAGGCAGAGGCTGGCGAAGATTCCTACAGGGGGAGGTTGGGGGGAGATTGGGCCCCAATCATGGTTTGAAGAGCTTGAGGGGCTCAAAAGGAAAAGGTTGTTCGACTGAGCGCACATATTCATCCGAGGCAATTCCAATTGGACGGGCTGCTGCAGTGCCATCTCCGAGAGCAACTATCATGTAGCTCATACACCTTTCGACATATGATGAGCTCAGGTACTCTAGCCTCCATTCCTTTTCAAAAGGGATATGCATCGTTGACACTGCGTGAGCGTCTCTCCGTCTAACACGGAGATCCCCAGCACTCCGCGGCCGTGTCTACAGCGCGTTCCTGCGGGCGGCAACTGCGAAGACACTATTCTTTCCTTTTTCCCACCTTACGTCAACGGACTCCCATTAACCCGAACACACATCATTATGGCGGACAGATTTACTAGCCCAAGACCTCTCAGCAGCGAGGAAATGTGGGCGGGCTACGAGGCCCCTGTGCCCGAGTACCTCAAAAGTAGATTCGACGAGCAAGTCCCACAATTCGCCATCATAGCACCTCCGCTAATCACAACTCTAGCTTCTCTACGCCATCTCAATACCCCGCACAACGGCTAACATATGACCTTTTCCCATACAGCCAGACAGCCGAGAAACACGGCCTGAGACTGTTCAAAGTTTCTATCAGGGAGCAAGTCTGGAATCTCGTTGAGATGGGCCCAGAGATGGAATCATTTGCCAAGACGCAACTGGAAAACCAGCGCAGACTCCCTCCAGATATCACGGGGCTGGGAGAGCTTCTAGATTTCGACGGTATGAGACAAGACGCGAACAGGTGAGCTCTAGTTACTTTCCTTCTGCCGAAGACTACGATCTAACCAAAAGCAGGATATTTCGCGAAGGCGATTACATGACCGCAGTATGGAACTACGTGTCCAATTGGTCAATGTTTCTCCCCTGGCATGTTGATGCTTTACCGAGGACACATCCCCTGCGACCCAAGCTGGGCGAAGCGTGCGTCCTAATCGTACAGACTCTTCATTGATGCTGATCTCACCTCGGCCAACTGACGCGGAACATCACAGCGAGGCTTCTCTCTTCAACAACATGTCCGCATGCTTGTTGAAGATATCTGAGGCGGCCAAAAAGTATGAACGAAACGACTTCGGTAACTTTTACATGGACGCAGCTTTCAAGACGTCTTGGGTGGCCCTTGACATGCGCGAATTCGCCAAAGTCAGGACTGTATACGGCTCAGGTGTGTTTTCTTCCAACTATCTGTCCATTGGTCGCTGATGTATGGCTAGCTAAACGGTCTCTGAGCTTGATCCGTAGACTTTTTGCAGTCACCCCTAGTCCGAACGTCACCGCCGCCAATATCGACGCTATGTGCGCTTACTATGCTGTTCAAGCGAAGGTTCTGGAGAACGTTAACAAGGATATCATGTTCAAGGATTTGTCCCCGGAGAAGAAGATCCCTTGGCCCTCTTTTGATGACTATTGGGCTATGGGTCCCTTTTGTTGGGGTACAACACATGGCTTGGGTATGCTGTGTCTCGAGTACGCATCTATTTCACTAACATTGTCATACAGTACATGTAAACAAGGATCCGGTACTAGAGGCGAAGCGAGAAAGGAATCAGCCAAGAACCCTCACTGAAGAAGAGCTTTGGGCAATTTGGACGGAAGATGTCCCAGTGCCAACGGAGCCTCTCGAGTACGTCCGTCGCAACTATCCAGGACTCGACTAATCTCCCCGAATAGGTACCGCCAACCTGCTGACGACTATCCAGAATTCCGCTTCTGCTACGACAACATGCCTATCGGCCGGATTTACGAAACGCGACATATATGCCGGGCCAAGCGAGAGGTGTACGAAGTGATCTTTCGGGCTTGTCGGGATGACGTGTCAAGAGAGGCATACAATCATGTCATGAGAAGTCAGAGGGAGCGATCCGTCACGAGTCATCCTTGGGGCGCGAGGCTTAACGCTGCAGTGGCAAAGAAGGAGGAAGGGACCGAGTAAGTGCTGCGCTTTCTGAGCCAGGTCAAACTGACCATTCTAGTCTTTACCGGGCCAAGAACATCAGAGCTGCTCTCTCTACTTACATTGACGCCTGGGCTGAGCTGCTTCCGCACCACTACAGCTCGCGCCTCACCTTTGAATGGGTTAATAGTGGAGCTGGATCTCTGTAAGTGGGACCTACTGTTGCGGCAGAGATGCTAATACCGTTTATCAGCGAGGCAAAGCTGTGGTCCAACATATCCGCGGCTTGCATTCAGCTCTCAAAATCGGTCAATAGCGATTTCCGGAGGTCCACATTGACCCTACTAGCGTTCATGAGCGCCTACTTTAGTTGGCATTTGCGAGAGTATACCTCGGTCAATCCTGTGAAGAACAGCTGTAAGCCACGACTTCTATCTCTCATCTTTGTATCTGCTCAGACTATCCACAGGTACTCGTCTATTGGCAACCGTCTCCGACGCTTCCATCATGCTGACAACGCTCCAGCCGAAGATTGATACCCTGAAGACTCTCTGGCAGCAACAAGTGGATGTGCTGCAAGGTGCCGACGATGAGCTGTTCATGGCGCTGGAAAGACAGAAGAGGGTACCGAATGCTATGGGCGAAAGAGAATGGGCGGAGGTTGGGCCACAGACTTGGATGGGCGAGATTGAGAAGCTCAAAGGGAAAAGGTTGTTTGTTTGATTGTAGATTCACAATCCGTGCGATTTTGTTCCATCAAGCAGGCTCAATGATACCATGGATCTGTGATTGTCATACAGGGTGGACCTCTGTGTCGTACATTAACCGGCTGAAAAACGACAGTTTTGGACTATGAAATATGATTTAAAGACCTATGGGTTATAGAAGACATATTATATTGACATGGATCCAATAGCCTGTATATACTATACGGCGTTTCTAATGTTTTCATAGTTTCATAAGACATTATAAGATTTTCACTGTTCTTGCGATCTCTAATCCAGTTGGATACCCTCGCCTTCAGTCTCCCATCATATAGGTGTACAGCTTGCTTGACCCAGGGGCCAGGGCTGACCTCTGTACCCGACGCAGAGACCGTCGTCACTCCGCGTCCCGCATGACAGCGTTCTGACTCTCGCTGTTCCGACACCAACTTTCGACTTTCTGCCTCCTGTCGCATTCTGTCTTTAGGTCGCCAATCAGTCCGACAGTGACCATGGCCGGCAACCGGTACCCCCCCAACGCCCTTGGCCAACGAAAAACTGTGGGCGTGTCACGAGGCCCCATTGCCCGACGACCTCAAAATTGGGTTTGACAAGCAAGTCCAGCCATCAATCAACTAGCACTTCCGCTGACTACTTCTAGCTTCTCCGCGCCATATGAGTTCTCTACACAAAGGCTCCCCTACGATCTCCTTCCGAACGCCATCGCTGCCGAGAAACATGCCCTTCGACTGTTCAAAACCAAAGCCAGAGACCAGATCTGGAATCTCGTCGAGATGCCTTCCGAGATGGAAGCACTGATACAGGAGCAGCAGCTGGAAGGCCAGCACACTTCGCCACAAGATATTGAGGCACTTGGAAGACTTGTCAAGGATGATGGTTTTAAGCAAAATGCGAACAGGGGAGCTCCGGCGCCTGAACTCACCAAGGCACTGTCTCTTTCGCGAGGGCGAATACATGATTGCATTGTGGAAACATGGCACCGCCTAGTCCACGCATCTCCCCTACCACACCGATGCTCTTCCAAGATCACACCCTGTGAGGGCTCAACTGGATGAAGTGTACGTCCTCCATCATGACACAGCGACAGCCCCTGACACGGGGCAACACAGCGAGGCTTCCCTTTTCAACAACATTCCCGCATGCTTCCGACTCGTCAAAGTCGCCGAGGAGACAATAAAACTCCGGGCAATTGGCTTGAGTAAGTTTCACATGGACGCGGCTTGGAAGGCGGCCTGGGTTGCCCGTGACCTGCGCGAATACGCCAACGTGAGGACTGTATACAGCTCCGGTATCTTTCAACTTTGTAGTATGGCGGATGTCTTCACTGCTGGTTATCGATCATCTTTTAGTCGCCAGCGGCCACTATTGTGCTCTTGAATTGGTGTTACAGCCGCGACCCCGGACCTGCGCTTTGTCGACTGTGCATATTGCTGCCCCCGAACGTGTCGTTGCCGTTGTGTCAGGATCTCAGGCAATCATTGTGGTCTTCGTCCTCAGCCCCGGCCTCCGTTAATTTCGTAACAGCTGAGCCACATCAACCACATCACAGAGTGGCGGCCGAGGATCCCGACGACGTACGATCCATCGTGTGTGATAACCGATCGGGCTTTTCGATTCTGCTCAGGTCGTCACTGCGGGACAGTCTGAAGCAGCAAGCGCACATAAGCGGGCCAAACGGGCCGAAGCCCGAAGCATTGAGCAGGCAAGGAAGGCATAATGATGTAAGGCAGATGAATGAAGATTTCCGTGACTATGTACCAAGAGAATGGAAAGTTTCTTGGTAACAACAAAGATAAGTATAAGGTAAGCGACCCCGAAAGACTCTTCCCGAAAGTTCGATTTTTTGTGTGGTTTCGCTCGAGAAAAGAGGAAGGCCAAGAAGGCGGAAGAAGTTGGCGGATGGTGATGCATATATACATACGCCTATTCACCCCTGCATGTGCTGCCAAGTGCGGCCAGTTGCCATCGGCAATCGGCCGAACGAGATCTCTTGGTGCTAGTGCCTTGTGATATGTATGGGAATTCTCCCACTTCTTTCGGCCATCCACTCCCAGTGTTACATGCTGCGTGCTTCAAGCATAGATATTTATTCTCGGCCATGTAGCCTTACATCTACATATATATATATATATATATATATATAATATATATATAGCATTGATCTCCCCTCCTCCCACCCATCGACCCATTGACGCCGACACCCACCATGTCTAAACGACGATCGTCCTCCATCGCCAACTCCAAGTCCACGGCGTCCGACACCATTCTGGACAATGAGAAAGAAAAAGACCTTCTCCCTTTGCCGGATCAGCAAGGCCATTTCACTAGTCAACTGCCAGAGCTCGCCGCGCTCGCCTCGCACAATGACACCGATAATTATGCTCCCGACGCAGAGGAGACCGACATCCCCCTCATGTATCGTGTCATGGCGTTCGCTATGGTCATATTCTTTGCGACTGGCTCGAGTTATATACAGGGCATCTCGAGTCCTCTCAAATCGACATTCAAAAAGAAGCTTGGCATCACCAGTACGTTTTTTCGCTTTTGTTGCATGCCAATGCAGAGTCGTCGGTTGACAACCTGCTTCAGATGCCCAATACGGTGCAATCTCCAGTGCTTCTTCTCTTGTGAACACCATCCTCCCTATCATTGGAGGGATCGGTATGGACCATTGGGGTGCCACCTAGTAAGCAGCTTATGTTTCTGTTTAGCTCGTGCTTATCTTTGGCAGCGCGGCAATCATTTCGAGCATCTTTGTTCTTATTGGAGCCATCATTGCGTCAGCTGTGAGTGATTTAGTTTGTGTCTCGTGACACTTTACTAACGATCCCAGGCTGCAAATGTCGAACACTATGGCATGCTCATAGGAGGTCTCATTCTCCTCGGCTTTGGCTCTACCGGTATGTCCCAAGTTACACCATTTGCATCTTACCGTTAACAGCACGGATTAGTTATTGAAGCCGTCCAAAACAAGCTCTACTCTCACTGGTTCCGCGGCTCGTCTCTCGCTTTTGTCTTTGCGCTCGACATTGCTTGGAACCGTATCACCACTCTCATAGCCAAAGCCACTGCTGTCCCCATGTCGAACATCAACGGCTGGTGGGGTTGGGCCCTCTGGATTCCAACTATCGTTTGTGCTGTCAATATGGCGTTGGTGATGCTGTATTGGTGGTTTGAAAGATCCGTTCCCAAGCAGTACAGACCTGCTCTGGGCAAGGACGCTAGAGTGACCGAAGGGTGGGATAAGCGGAAGTTCCACTTTGGTACGCTCTGGAGGTTGCCAAAGTTCTTTTGGATCTTTTGTGGTTCCCGTAAGTCATTCTATTCGCAAACACATTCCGCGCTTTGTTGCTCACAAGTCTGACCAGAGCTGTTCCAAAACGCTGCCATCTCCGTCTATAGTTCAAATTTGGCTGATATTCAAACCGTCACCCGTGGTACCAAAACGCTCGCTGCGGGTTACAACTCGTCTCTTCAGGGCATCGTGCCTATTGTGCTTACGCCCGTGGTCGGACTGTTCTTTGACCGTCTCGGCTACCGAATGGTGTTTGGTATGTCCATCCCTGACTCCTTCTTCAAAATGCTAATACCAATGCAGTCTCATGGACGGCTATCCTATATATCGTCGTCTTCTGCCTCATTGGCTTCACCACCGTCCACCCTCTCGCCCCCATCCTCCTTTCCTCGTTCGCCAACGTGACTAACGCCATCACATTCATCGCCGCCATTCCGGTATTGGTCGGCGATGATTCTTTACTTGGCACGGCTTTCGGTGTATGGAAAGCTTTCGCCAATAGCAACAGCATTGTGCTCGACGTTGCTTCCGGCGCTATCGTAAGTACCTTTCTGGCGAAGATGAAGGCCAGTCTCTGACACCGTGATTAGCAAGACCGAACTCCCGGCGGATCTTACGACAGGGTCCTCTACCTCATCATCGCCATCAAAGCCCTCCAAGTCTGCCTCGGTCCCCTGTACTTCTACCTCGATCGCATCTGGTTGGGAGGCTCTCTCCGTCTCTCTGAGAAGAAGCGACTCGAAAAGCTTGTGGAGAAGAAGGAAAACAATCTGGACTACGAAGGCTGGAGAATTAGCAAGCTTACGACCAGGGTTGTTGGAGGCGAGCTGGTGGGGTTGGTCATCACGGCTTGGGTCGTTTACATTGTTTACTCTCTGGGCACTTGATCGGTTCGTTCGTGTTAGAGTTTTATTATATGATGCGTCTCTCATTTGGTCTGGTCTTGAGGTTCGCTCTTTCCTCATGCACTATCTAGTCGTCATCTTCAAGGCATGAAATCATCCATACTCGTACGCGGGCTCGCTGCGCAGCTAGTCGGTCACCGCCGCCGCCATTGTGGGCACCGCCCGCACCGGGCCGCCGAAGAAGAAACTCGCGATACCAGAAAGTCGGATCGGGCTTCGAGATCGATTCTAACATACTTGTAAATATATATAATCCAGCCATTGCGTTACAGAACGGTCTCCATCAGGATGACATCCGAACCTGCCATGGCACATCAACACGCGCCCACGGAGCTAGAAATGTGAGTACATCAAGACTCTTCTCCGCTCGCCTTCAAGACCTGTTCGAAGCGCCCTCGGTATCAGGCATGGCTCAGAGGCGCATACCAGATCATACGTTGATACGGTATCCAGAGAAATTGCGCTACTAGGCTGTCTGGGCGAAGCAAGACCCCGTATGTTCTATCCATTCTTCATCCCTCGATTCCGACATCGTTCTGACGCTCGTTACAGTTGGCCGGCACAAGCATTTCCTCATCATACGGCTACAGGGTGCTATACACAGGCGCCTCGGAATATGGCTGACTGTGGATTCGCTGTGGGAAAGACTGGACGAACTGTATGACCTGGAAAGCCTGGACGAGCTGGTATGTGCTTTCAGGACGGACGACTTTGTCTGACATGTCTAACAGGCATCAGAGGCATCAAATTCACAACCTCCATCTCCAATAAGTCTTTCGCCTCGTGACCCCTCGCCAACCCGATTCTCTTCAAACTCCCCCCTCTCCGATATCTCTTCTCCATCACACCCTGCACCTCAGGGCAAGAACAGAAAAGTTCCAATTTCCAAATCCGCCCGAGTGCTCAACTCTCGCCATTTCAAGCACGTCTTCGACCTGCCATACTTTCGGATAAAACAAAGACATGAAAGTGAAGAAGGGACAACGGACGAGGAGGAAGAAGAGAAAGATGGTGAGGCAGATGGCAAAGAAGACGATAGCGAGGAAGAGTCTGATGACGGGGTTTTTGAGTTTGAGCTGGATGGGCAGGATGAGATGGCATGGGAAGGGATCATATATCCGAGAGCTATCGCTCTTGATGGGACGGATGAGCCGTGGGGCGGGGTATTTTCGGACGAAAATGTGAGCTCCCCTTCTGAAGATGGGGAAGAGAATGCCGGGAGGAACGGAGTCAGTCGGTCGCGGACGATGGGGCCAACAAAACGAAGAAGAGGTAGTACGGTATCAATAGCGGAAAGAAAGAAGAGAAAGAATAGGGACTCGCTTGCGATCGAGGGAAGAAGAGGAGGAGGAGGAGGAGGAACTCGAGAGGCCGTCGAGAGAACGGGGCAAGACAGCGGAAAAGGTATGTAGACGCTTGTCAATCTCTTCGGACATGATCTGATATTGTGGTCAGGGAAGATCTAGAAGGAGAAGATGATTTGAGGCCTATCATAGGTTTAGTTGTACTTGAACACCTACCCACTTGGGTGTATGTAGCAGTAAAGAATTGAGGCGTTTTGATCCTGTCGGCGGCGGGCTTTCATGTATCTGTTGTTGTCGACCATGCATGCAATCTAAACAGTGACTTTTGGACGTGTCTCCCAAATGCATACCCATAACTAAGTCATTCTCAATGCAAAGAAAAAAACGACAAAAAGTAATCTTCTCCGACCGGGATTCGAACCCGGGTCGTCCGCGAAAACCAAGAACCGGGGTTGAAACCAGTTATACATTTGAAAAGCGGATATACTAACCCCTGTACTATCGAAGATTGGACATGATATCAGAGCATTGCGCAAAGTAATATCAGTAATTTTGCTTTAGGTCATATGTGTTTTACTCTCACTACTGTCCTCTACACTCGTGCTCTATTGCATACCACTTGCCCACATCCCTGCTACAAGCATTTGGATATGAATATGCATGTATGGACAGGTAATTTTTGGACGACTTGTCGTCTCGACTACGTATATATACACCACAGATCTCATCAACAACAAGAAGATTTGTCCCTTCCCTTCCTTCCTTCACTTGCATGCCCTGTTTTACAACTTGATCCCAAACAGCTTCTTCTTCTTCTTCTCCCCATCCTTCTTATCCTTCTTCCCTCCTCCGTTTATACTACCGGCGTATTCAGAGCCAGATTGGAGAGAAAGCTGAGACATGTCGTTTGACAGATTCGACTGGCCGGATTTCTTGGAGCTGAGTTTAGAGGTGGATCCGGTGGCGGCGGGTTGGGGTGGAGGTGCGAGAGGCGGGGGACCGACGGGGGGACGCCAGTGGCGATGATTCAAGATTCTACATTCCCCGTCAGTTGAAAGTTGGTTTTTGAAGAGACTTGGACGTACTCTTGATATGTGGCAGCTCCACCGGGCTCGGCGCGATTGATACGGGCAGGGCCTTCGGGATGAAGGGGAATTGGCTGCGGCGGGTTTGCACCCACGCCTCCTCGTCCGAGTGCTCTTAGTTGGGTACAGAAGAACTCTGGCGTCAATACATGTGTGGAACCTACACCCCATTAGCATTCTTCCCAATGCACAAAGAATCCAGACTCACCGATGTAAACGTCCTTCCCCAACGCTTGCCCGACGGTATACGCACACCTCATCTCACTGTACGTCATCCCTCCGGCGATAAAGATTACAAATCGCTGCTTGCCCTCGGTATTCGTCGCCCGCTGACTCGCAGCTTTATGCCACGTCGGTCTAGCAGATCTCAAACTCCCCGAGGGGTTATTGGACACCTGCAAATGCGATGCCTGCGTTCCATGCCCACCGCCAGAACGTAGCGAGCCACCACCGCCGCCGCTCGAGGAAGAAGGGAGGAGCTCGGCAGGGGGGTCTTTTGTGAATGGGAATTGGGCGAGGTCTAGGCGGTTTGCTTTTTGGTCTTCGAGGATGATTTGGACGGCGGGTTTGTATCGGGACAGTTCGTATTCGCCCTCTGATACGGCGGCTTTTTGCCTGATGCGGCCTTTGCCGGTCCTGCTGTTATCCTGTCGCCACATCAATAGGGATTTCACCGACCAAATTACGGAAAAAGCGCTTCACCTTGATGATTTTGACACCGAGGTTGACCATATTGTTGACCATGTCCTGCTCTGAAATGGACAATCTAGCGTGCTGGTACAAGCGGCGCCTGTCCTCGTCCGCGACGCCTTCCCGGAACATGATATACAGGGCGATGATTCGGACCTTGTCCAACGAGCTGTGCCTCGGGTCAGTTTGAAGACAAGGAGAAAGACTGGAGACGTACGTGACGTTGAGACGATCGTCCAAGAGGGGCACCATCTCTTCGACCACAGTCTTGGGTGTCTTTCCCTCCGCCGTATGTCCCGTCGCACAACACTGCTCTACCAGTCAGCCATCCTTCAGGCCTGCATGGAGGGGGAAAACACACCTGCTCAACACTGGCCACCTGACTGAGCTTTTTCTTTTCAAACAAGTTCATACACTCTTGCGCGAGGTCGAGATGTAATGAAAACTGTTCTCTTTGTGTCTGAAATTGCGGCAAGCTCGCGAGCATGTCTTTCAGGTCGTTCACATTCACATTCCCTCCCCTACTTGCATCAGTGCCTGTCCATCTTTATCAAGACAATGACTCACCCTCTAAACCCCGCATGCTCCTGCGCAAACTTGCCGAAATCCGTCATCAACGTATCAATCGCATCCTTCATATGCAAATGCCTAACCGAGCACCACACGGGGTCTTCCTCGTCCAGATTCGCTACTTTTTCCTCTTTGCCCCCGACGGTGTTGGTGTATTTGTATTTGTAGTGGACGCCGTCGGTGATGTTCAAGAGGTCGTTGGCCATGGCTTGGTACCAGAATTCGTGCAGGAGCGGGGCGGCGGGGTCGACGGAGCGGTCGAGCACAAACAGCACCGCGCGTGGTCTGCCCGAAGCAGGCTGTGAGAACATTAGTTGACGGTTCAAGGGAAGGACAAAGCTGAGACATACGGGAAACTCGGGATTATTTTGCAAGTACTCGTCTAGATCACTTTGCACCTGCATGGCAATCTTCTTACTCAAATACTCCCCTTGCACGGGGCTCTTGGAACTCGAGCCGCCCATTGCTGAACGCCACCTGAGACTAGCGCCTTGGGGCTGACTGTGAGGCGCCGAAGAGGAGGGTGCGCCTGGCTGGTGGGCGGTGGAAGCTAGGGGACCGAGAGGCGCGTGGTGGGAGGGTTGGTAATAGCGGATGTGGGGGTTTTCGTTGATGGTTGCTAGAACATTGAGGATCTGTTACAAGTCAGCTGAGCCAACGCTAGTTGGTGGGGACGTACGGATCTCCCGGCCACTTTGACGTCGTCTTCAAAGGCTTCCTTGGACAGGTCGGACGACGAGATACCGCCGGGGTTGCCGAACATGGTAAACATGGACCACGGAGCATTGAGGGAGAAGACTCTGTCCTCGATAGCTGAGACAGGTCAGTGCTTGCCTTCGGCCAGTTATAGAAACGTACCCTGAAAGTTGCAGTACAGCTCGACGAAAGCCTGTAATATCCCAGGCGGCATCCCCTCGGTCAGCCTCTGTGCCAGCCCATCGTCGACGCCTGAGCCGAGTCAGCTTTGTATCGAGAGGCTGGCCATTCCCGCACATACCGTCGATGAAATAAACATGGGCCGACTTGTAGGTCGTGCGCCCAAAGCTAAAGTCGGCAATGATCCTGTCGACGTTCTGCAGCGTCGGTGTCAAGAGATAGATGGCGTCGACGGACATCTGCTGCCGAGGAGAGTGCAATGGTTCCACAGCTGTCTTCCGAGTGAGCGCCGCCCGAAACAGTCACTGAAGACGTACAAGTGACATTCTGCTGGAGGATGTCGAACTGTTTGTAGACGGTGTCGAGGAGGGCCTGAGAGTGGTCGTCTGTGATGAGGATCTTCCAGCCCTGGGGGATGGACTGGATGGCGGAGGTGAAGCGGGCCCTGAGAAGGTCCTTGAGGGGCATGGCGAGATAGATGGAGATGTAAGAGGAGAGCAGCGCGATGACGCCGTCGCATGGCAGCGGGAGGTGATCCGAGGGGGCGGCGACCTCCGCTTGTTGTTGTCCTCGAGCTCCTCGAGCTGAAATTTCCAGCGCGTCTAGGGACTGTATCCACGGCAGAATGGAGGGTCAGGTCATACAGTGTCTACAAGCAACCCTCTCCCCGGACCATACAGTCAGGACACAGGCCGAGGACCAGCTCAGGCAGCTCTTCAGTCACCCCCGTGAGTCCACAGCGGTGCGGACAGTGCGCGATGGCACTGACCTTTGCAGAGGGTGGTCTGACTCTCGCCAAGTTACTCACTTCGCAGCAAGTAGAGATCTACCAGCGACAGATGAGTCTATCGCTTCTATACGAGAACCACGGCTGACTTGGCATCTACGCCGCAGGGCTGTTGTTACAAAAGTATGTCGACAAGCACTGGTCGCCTGTCTCGGCAAACTATGAGGCCCCCGCGACTCCTATTGAAGTGAAGGGGGAGATCAGGGACCTTGTATTTGGGGGGCTGAGTGATGGTGAAGGCAAGATTCGAACGGCTAGCGTGAGTGGCATCCCTCAAAGACTTTCAGTGGAGATGCGTCTACTGACTCACTCATCCCAGGCATACTCTCTCTCCGCCATCGCCCGCTTCGACTGGCCCGAAAATTATCCCACCCTCCTCCCCTCCCTTATCCAACTCCTCAACAACGGCTCCCCCGCCTCCATCCACGGCTCCATGCGCGTCATCCAGGATTTTGTCCGAAACGATCTCTCAGAGGACCAGCTCCTGCCCGTCGTGCAAGAGCTGCTCCCCGCCGTACTCGGCATCCTCGGCGACCCCGCCTCGCACTCGCCCACTACGAGGGCGTCTACAGTGCATGTCTTCCGCCAAGTCTTGCGTATGCTCGAGACGATCCGGGAGGAACACCCCGAAGCTGCTAAATCCGCTATCGACTCTCTCAGCGCCGTGTGGCTCGATGCGTTCAAGCAGCTGCTCGCACAAGACGCTGCCACCGAGATCCAAGCCAACTGGACGTCCATCAACGTCCGCGTCGAAATCTTCCGGACGCTCTCTCTTTATCAGAACGCCTTCAAGACGCTCATCGCTCCGCATATCCCCGAGCTGATCCAGCTCGCGCTCCAGAATCTGCAATCGCTCTTACCCCTCTTCAGGGCATTCTATCTGTCCTCCGAGGACGATGCGCCTGAACCGCCTTCCCCGACTTCGGACGTGGGCATGATGGAGGACAAGACCGGTTTGCCGGAACTCGCTTCGGCCATATTTGACCTCCTCACCCCCGTCGTCCGTACCAAATCCGCACTCCCCTCTCTCATCTCTGGCTCTGAAGACTCCGAGGCTCCCACTCAAATGCTGGAGCAGCTGATCAAGGTGGTGCAAGAGTGGACGCAGGTGACAAAGGAGAATACGGAGGAGTGGATGGAGGATCCGAATGCGTTTGTGGTGGATGAGGATGATGATAATGAGCAGTATAGTGTTAGGACGTGTGGGTATGATCTTGTGGGGGTAAGTCGGGTTGTTCTGGGTGAGAGGGTGGTGCTGATGGTCAAATCAGTCATTGATTGACAAGTGGACGAGGCCTGTCGCTTCTGTCCTTCAGAAAATTGTTGAGGAGAAGGTGCAAGATGCCGCCTCCGCCAAGCAATCAGGCAGTATTGACTGGTATGTACTTTATCCACACTACACAGACTGCTTTGACTGACTGAGCTATAGGTGGAAGCCCTTGGAGTCCGTCTTGGCCCTTATTGGTGGTATCGCAGATGATGTCCGCGACATTCTTGAGGAGGACCAAGAAGAAAAACGTCCTCCCGCCATCAACATCGGTTTCCTATTCGACAATGTCATCCCGGGCCTTCTCGGGCAGAACGGTCTGTCAATACGTTCCACCACCTCGACTTCAAAAGCTGACGTTTTGGTTTTAGAAACTCCATTCTTGCAAGGTCGCGCGTTTGTCTTTGCGAGCCAGTTTTCGTCCATGCTGAATCAGCAGCTCGCGGGACAGTATTTGAGTGCGGCGGTACAAGTGTTGGAGGCGAGTGACGTTTCGGTGCCTGTCAAGATTTCGGCTGTCAAGACTATCAAAAAGTAAGGTTGCCCCATCTTCATTGCAATATACTGAGCACTGAATGGTATCTAGCTTCTGCCGTCACGTTGACCCATTCGTCCTCAAACCATTCTCATCCAAGACGCTTCATCTTATCCTCCCTCTACTCCCGCAAGCTTCTTCCGAGACGCTCTACCTTGTGCTCGAGACTTTGCGCGCAATTACGTCGATGGATGACGATCTGCTGGATGAGCAGACGACACGGACGGTCGTTGATGTGTTGTTTGACGTCTGGCTGAGGTGCAGTGACGGCAAGTCTTTCAACTTCCAGAAGGAATGTAAAGGGGAAAGGAGCTAACGCATCTTCAGACCCCGTGACGACTGCCATCATCGAAGAAAACATCGAATCCATCTCCCTCCACCCCAACCCCTCCGTCGTCTCCATCCTGATCACCGCCCTCTCCCCCAAACTCGCGGCCACCATCTCGTCCCCCGTCACCGACGAAACCGTCCACATCCCGGGCGAAGCTGTCCAGCTCGCCAACAGCTTGCTGCGCGTCCGCGGCGGGCCGCTGGAGGCGGAGTTGGTTGCGACGGTGACGAGGAGTGTGATGGAGGTGTTGAGGGTGACGGATGATATGGACGTTATTCAGCATGGGATGATTCATTTGACTTTGGTTGTGCGGAAGGATTGCGAGAAACTTGTTCAGTGGTAGGCCTCTATCCTTTCCTTTTTTGGCTTGGTGCCGGTGCTGATGTTTGATAGGCATGACGCGCAAGGCCAGAATGGGATCAACGCCATTTTCGCCCTCCTTGCCCGCTTCCTCGCCCCGGAATTTTCCGAGTCTGGTGGCATCTTTGTCGGCGAGCTCATCATGCACCTCTTCCGCAAGGCAGGCGAAGCGATCGGTCCCGTTCTGCCCGACTTGCTGAGGGCCGTCGTTGAGAGACTCAAATACGCCAAAATGGCATCTTTCATCCAGGTTTGTCGTTCAACTCCCCTCGTGTGATTTACAAGCTGACCAAGGTCTAGACCCTCGTCCTTCCTTTCGCCTACCTCTTCTCCACTGAATACACTTCCACCACAATCGACCTCCTCTCTCAAATGTCCATCGCTCCCCCCTCGGAACCTACTACAGCCTTCCCCACCCTCTCTGCCCCTCGGTCTGCGCTGGACATTGTCCTCAATGCGTGGTCAGAGACGTCCGAGACTGTTAGTGGGAGCTGGAATATCCGAGTGAGCGATATGGGGATGAGCAAGCTGTTTGTGCTCGGTGGGGATCAGAGATTGAGGGAGGTTATGGTGAAGGGGGATTTGATTATCGATGAGGCCAACCGGGACAGTGAGTTTCTCGCTGCAGCAGTTGGTGTTGGTGCTGATCCGGATATGTCAGCGATCATGACCCGATCCCGAACCAAGGCCCGTACGTGATCTGCCACCAACTCGACACTCAGTTGCTCACTTCTACTCGTAGACCCCAACCAGTACACCCAAACGCCTTTCCCACTCAAAGCACTCAAACTCATCCTCAAAGACGTCCAGTCTGAGACAAGCGGTAAAGGCAAGGGGAAGGGCAAGGGCAAGACTGTGGATTTGGAGATCCCTGAGGACGATGGAGTATGTTTTGATCTCCTGACTGCATGAACACGTTGCTGATCTGTTTGTGTAGGATGAAGATTGGGATGATGATGATGATCTCTTTGGCGGCGACGACGAGTTCGAGTTCTTGTCTTGTAAGTCCAATGCTTTGCTGAGCTTGGCACCCGACTGACATTTGTGTCTAGCGTGGCTCGAGGCAGGCGGCGGTAACGAAAATGATGCGCAAGATGACGACGAGGATCTCAAATCCGATCCCCTCGCTCAGATCGACCTCGGTGTAAGTTCATGTGGCGATACCAGAAGCGGCAGGTTGCTGACGTGGGATTTACAGCAACATCTGACTGACGTTCTTCGACATGCCTACTCGTCCAACGCGAACGGGATGCACGAGATGGTAGAGGGGTTGACGGATGAGGAAAAGTCTATCTTGAGAGGTGTCTTGACTTTGTAAGTATGATGATGCAAATAGAGTTGCTGTCTCTTTCCACAACACATGATTTGCGGTTGCCATTCCGGGAGTGGTGAGAAACGGATCTGTCCCCATGTTGTTCAGTTGCAGTACACAAACGTAGCAGAAACATGCATACAGACTGAGCTTCATTCCTGAATCACATTCAGCATCTAAACCCAAAGAAACAGAACAACTATATGTACAGCAATTCAACTAATTAATATGTATACCTGAAATGAGGGTTCTGAAGATCCGTCATCCCATTTTCTCCATTAATCTTTCCCTGCCTCTCCATTTCCTCTTCAGACAAGCCAGACTCTTTGGCCAACTTGTCCCTCTTTGCGTTGACCCACATATAGTAGAACCTCAGCATGAAGATAGCGACGAAGGTCAAGCCGAAGCAGATAGCGCTTCCAATAAGACCCGGGCGGTAAAGAGGCGCGTCTTTGTCCTTGTAAAGCTGAGAGCCACAGGCGTTGGCAACAGCGTAAGCTACAAAACTCATAGCACTGGCGGTAGATCGCTTGGTATTTCCAGCAACATTACTGGGAAGCATAGACCAGCCCATGAAGGTGGCCGTTGAGTAGATCGACATGGTGAGGAGACCGCCCCATCGCTTCCAGCGATACTCTTGCTCGCTAGGGAGGAGAGCAGCGACCAGGAGACCGGCGCATCCGGCGATCATGGAGAAAGCCATGAAGTATGTTCGTGTGTTGCGCCACTTGGAGGAGAGGTAGCCAGAGATGATGTTGAAACTGCCGCCGATCGCGCCGCCAGGCATATTGAGAAGGATGACTTGAAGGGAGGTAAAGCCGAAAGACTAGCACGTATGAGATCAAACAGATTCAAGAAAAGAAGAAGGCTCACCTTGGTGACAAGAGACCCGAATACACCGTAACCACCATTGGGGATGTTGGCCAAAAATGAAATGAAAAAGTAGAACCAAACTTGGGGGTCGAGGAACGCTTCTTTGACCTGATCCCACTCCCACTCAGACTTGTCGCTACCACGACTCTGATTGGACACGATACGGGCAGCAGCCATCTTCTTCTCTTCGACATTGAGCCATCGTACTTCGCTAGGTGTACCGAGGAAGAGGAAGAGGACGATGGACCATGCCACAGTCATGCCGCCAAGGAACAGGTTGATGGCTCTCCATGGGGCGATGGTGTTGTGTTTGTCTGTAGCAGAGCCGATGCCGTATGTGATGAGGCCGATGAAGACTGTTTACATGTCAGAACGTGTCGGTAAGATGACATCAATGTGACATACTGGAGAAGAAACCATTCTGTGCCATCCATATCATTGAGCGAGTTCCATGCTCCTGGCGCTTGTACCAGGAAGCGACAATCAGGAGAAACCCGGGAGAGATGCAGGACCTACAAAGTAAGCAAAAGAAGAGTGTTTGGTTCAGGAAAAGGCTCACTCGAGGGCTCCGATGAAGGTACGGAGGACCATCAGACCAGCAAAGTTGTGACAAGCAGCCAACAGCATGACCATGGCACCCCACACAAAAACGATAGCAGCCAAGAATCTGCCGAGGTTAACCTTCTGCATGATGTAGTTCATTGGAAATTCGCTACGTTCAGATCAGCACTGAACTGTTGGTCACAACAAGTCACTTACAATGCCAAATAAGCCAGATAGAAGATGGTGGATAACCATGCAGTCTGTTGACCATGAAGACCATTGTCCTCCACGAGGCCGAAGAGAGTGCTGGTAGATATACTTTGCTTGTCACAATACTGCACGCCACTGGGGAGGATAGATTAGACACTCGAAGTCTGTAAAAAACGGGCGATCGCTCACTAAGTTATGGCCATGACTACAAAACAAAGTTAGATAAGCTTATTAAGTGTCCTTAGTTTGACTTACTAGGCATCAAGTACCAGTCGAGCTTCTTCAACAGTTTCCTGTACTCCTCATCGCCATACTCTGCTTCCGCTTCGACTGCTGAGGCGTCGTGAACATCGTCCATGACCTTCTCATCATCGGGGCGGTTCTTATCCTCGTCGGTATGAATGGACATGCTGGATGTTATTTGTGGCTCTCTAGGGGTGGAGCCGTGAGCCAGTCTGAAGGGTCAGCCTTTTATCTTTTTCTCTGATATCTGGCGCTTCATTGGGTGATCGGATGTCGGAGTGATAAGACCGGAATGCAGTGTGGTCGAAGGATATTAGAGATAGGAATGAGCGAAGGCTGCTGATAGGGCAAGCTACTGCGGACAAAAGCAGGCCATTATAGACATACAAATGCGGGGATAAAGACAAGAGGGGCCGCCATTTCGGCGAGTACCCGACAATGGCAAAGTCAAATCCGATAGCATTTGACCCGAAAAGGAAGGGTTCATGGGCGGAGATAAGCGTGCCTTCGGAATACGCGACGACGGCGTCAGGAGCATCGTCGGCAACCCCGACGTGCGCTGTCCATCCTCCAATCCTTCTCTTGCATCGTGCTCAGCCATGCGATGAAATTGCATGTGCCACAGAATCAGTCAGCTGATAAGCATGGCCCGACCGGCCCACCTCCGAGCTGGCCCACAGAGACGCTTTGCGGCATCATCGGTCTTGAAATTGTTCCTCGTGCTGCTGCAGCCCTGTCGGCTATCGCCCGTGACATTGCAGATATCTACAGCAGAGCCATTTCTTTACCGCGCTTCTCAACTGTTCGAACCGGTCGTCCAGCATTTTCCTCCGGCTGAAACCAGACAGTGGATCTCAAGACAATGCCTGTCGCCATCAAAGAAACCAAGCCAGCAACGCCAGCGAAGATGAAGTTGTTGGATGTAGAAGCGGTACTTGGCAGGCTATCGCTGCCCGACAAGGTAGCTCTGCTTTCTGGAAAAGGTAACGCACATGTCTCTACTGTGATTTCCAAACGAAGCTGACTCTTTTACAGACAATTGGCACACGAAGGACTTTGTCGCACTTGGTGTCCCCTCGCTCAGAGTGAGTGTCTTGTGCCTGATGTGCAACGTGGTCTCACTGCAGATGTCAGCTGTCAGATGGACCCAATGGTTGCCGAGGGACCAAGTTTTTCGAAGGCGTGCCAGCAGCATCATTTCCTTGTGCGACGGGGCTGGCGAGTAGCTGGGATATTGAGCTGTTGGACAAAGTTGGCGCTGCCATTGGTGAAGAGTGCCGAGCCAAAGGTCAGTTTCCGCCTTGTGAGAGATTGAAGCTGACCTGTGTTACAGGAGTTCATGTTCTTCTCGCCCCCACCGTGAACCAGCACAGAACTCCACTCAACGGACGCGGCTTTGAAAGCTTTTCCGAAGATCCGTTGCTGAGCGGAAAGCTGGCTGGGAGCTTCATCAGAGGATGTCAGGCTACTGGTGTTGCGGCTGCCCTCAAGCATCTGGTCTGCAATGACCAAGAGACGAAGAGAGTGAGTACCATCTCGATTTCACTGGCCCAATACTGATATCTCTCGTAGTATTCTATCAGCGGTATGTCCAGCTTTGGACGTCTTGGTCCCAACCCTGTTACTGACAATTCTATAGCCGAAGTCGACGAGAGAACTCTCCGCGAAATCTACCTCAAACCATTCGAGATCGCTATCAGAGAGGCCGATCCTTGGCTGGTCATGACAAGCTATAATCGTCTGAACGGGCTGCACTGTTCCGAGACAAAACGACTCATTTCTGGTATCTTGAGAGATGAGTGGGGTTTCACAGGTGAGCTATACAGTTCTTGACAAGTAGAGTTTGACTGAAGGCTTTGAAAGGTGCAGTCGTATCTGACTGGCACGGTACGTATTCCACCGACGAGGCCATCCATGCCGGTCTGGATCTCGAGATGCCGGGGCCTTCTATCATTCGCGGACCAGCCCTTTTGAGGATGGTGACTTGCGGAAAGGTGACAGAGGATGAGATTACGGAGCGAGCCCGACAGGTCCTTTGCTTAGTGAATCGGTGCATACCTTCCAGTATCCCTAGTATGGCGGAGGAGAGAGAAAACCCTGACCCTGCCCTCGATACTTTACGAGAGTCAGCTGCGGTACGTCGACTTTGCTAAACAGACCCTACATATACTGATCATCGATAGAGCGCGGTGGTCCTTCTCAAGAACGACACAAATACTCTTCCAATATCAAGAACCGCCAGGAGAATAGCCGTCATTGGCCCCAATGCTGGCAGGGCTTGTATCTTTGGAGGTGGAAGCGCCGAATTGAGACCAACGTACTCTGTCAGCCCTCTCGAGGGCATCAGGAAAGCGGCTGGATCAGCTTGCGATGTGGTCTATGCTGCTGGATGTGACGCACATAAGCTTACTCCCCTATTGGTAAGTCTTGCTGTTCAAAACATGCGCCAATACTGATACCCATTGGCAGGGCGAACGAATGACCAACTCCCGAGGCGCTATGGGCTTCGACATCTCTTTCTACAATGAACCCCCTGATCGACACCAGAAGGCTATCCACAGCCTTTCGACTAGCAACTCCAACATGTTTTTCAATGACAACCTGCCCGACTCACTCGATCGCGCATGCTATGCGACAATCACTGGACATTTCACTCCCGAGCGGTCTGGTGTCTATGAATTTGGTATCGGTGCCTTGGGGGTGGTGGATATGTATATTGATGATGTGTGAGTATGGTCTGATGTTCAAATAGACACTGTGCTCATTGTGAGGCAGTCTGTTCATCGACAACACCACCAATCCAACTCCAGGAGAGCTTTTCTACGGGAAAGGTTCCCGGGAAGAGACGTCGGAAGCACACCTCCAAGCAGGCATTGCTTACAGTATTCGCCTCGAGTATGCTTCGCCGTCCGCATCTACCAGCTTCGTCGGTCCCCTGGCGCTTAGCTCCAGAGGTGGTGTCCGATTCGGTGGCTACCTCAAGCTTTCTCCGGAAGAGCATCTTAAAGAGGCTGTTGAACTGGCTCAGTCTGCGGATGCTGTTGTACTAGTAGCTGGTTTGAACTCTGGTATGTCCGCGCCAGCTCCTAGAGTCTCAATACTGATGCAGATACAGAGTTCGAGACAGAGGGTTTCGATCGTGCCGATATGGCCCTCCCTCCAGCCTCTCTCAATCTCATCGAGAAAGTCCTCGCCGTCCGCCCCGATACGATCATCTGTGTCCAGTCTGGAACTCCTGTCGAGATGCCTTTTGCATCTCAGACCTCGTCCCTCATTCAGCTCTTCTACAATGGCAACGAAATTGGGAATGGTCTCGCAGATGTTCTTTTTGGAGACGTGAACCCTTCAGCCAAGTTGCCTTTTACGATACCGAAGAAGCTGCAAGACTGTGCGTCGCATGCTGGATCAACGGATATGCCAGGGGGCTTAAGCTTCCCTGGTAAAGATGGGAAGGTGTATTATCAAGAAGGGGTATTCATGGGATATCGACAATTTGTGAGCGGCGGGCCCGAGCCCGCATTTGCGTTTGGTCACGGCCTCAGGTATGTCTCTTGGTGCAGTTGGTGATACAGTACTGATGTCTGTTCGCTCCAGCTACTCGGACTTTTCCTATACATCTTGTCAGATAAGCCGAAACGTCATGTCATCCAACCCCAACACGATCGTGCGGTGCACTATCACCAACAGCGGCTCTACCCCCGGACGAGAAATTGTCCAGACATACGTATCGGCTCCCCTCTCTTCTATCTCTCGTCCATCACGAGAACTTCGAGGGTTCACAAAGACAAAGCTTCTCCAGCCTGGGGAAAGTCAAGTGGTCAGCATCCGTCTCGATCAAGAGGCTTTCGCATATCATGGGGAGAAGGGGTGGACAGTGGAAAAGGGCGAGTATCAGGTGCTTGTTGGAGCGTCGAGCGTGGATATCAGGGAGACGATCAGTGTGACGATTGAGGAGGATTTCGTTTTCTGATGCCAGTGATGATCGATGTGATTGCAGTGACATAAGCCTGAGTCATGTCTATAGCAACAAATTCTGCATGTGATCAATGCTAGTACAAACACAACCGACCTCTCTTTCTGATTCGTCGACAAGTTCTCTTTTTTTGCTTTACAACCAATGCTGTTTGCGTGTTTCAGTTCAATGCACTCCTAATCATCTTCCAATCCGAAACCCCATACATCTTCCTCCCCTCCATACCCCCACTCTTCACTGTCATCCCCTTCTCCATCCTCATCCTCCCCCTCTCCCCCATGCCCATGCTGGACCTTCCTCACCACGAGCGCCTCAACACAAATCAACTCCTCGCTTACTGGCGGGGGCACAATTGTGCTCGACGCCAATGCCGGGTCGTCCAATGGCAGCACCATCTCTGCATCCGATGCTGCCGACAAAGGCGAAAGCGCACGTGGTAAAGACGCTGAGGAAGAAGGCGTTGGCGAGGCAACGGTGCGGACGTCGGCGAAAGAGAGGGACAAAGAGTCGAGGGGGATATGGAGCAGGTCATCGCCGAACGAGTCTTCTGGCATCTCTGCGGGGGTTGCGAGGCGTAATGACGATGGACGGGCAGGCTGGTGTGGCATGACAATCTTGGACGATTCGTCAGAGAACAAGGGGTTGGTACCGTCGCCTCGTAAGAGGTCTAGCCGACGCTTCTCCTGCCTGGCAGCAGACCGACGTCGCTTCTTGTCGGACACCTCTAGTGATGACTGGTTGACACCCTTTTTGGCAGCCGGCGCAGAGCTAAGAGGCGAGTACTGCGGGCCCAGGTCGTTCATGTCAAAAAAGGACGAATCGGTGTCGCTTAAGCCGCTTCCCTTCTCTTTCAGCTTTTTTTCCTTCTTCCTATCGTGTCGGAACTGCTTCTCCACCTTCTTTGCACGTCGACCCTTCGGCCCCTGATCGTAGTTCTTGTTGCCCTTGCGAGGCTGGCCGTTCTCATCAAGATCGGGCCGACGAGCGATCCATTCGACAGGAAGGCCTGTGGAAGGCGGAAGGGAGATGGACTTGATGGCGGTGGCAGATCGAGAAGAGATGGAGGCGGCAGAGAGGACAATCTCTTTGAGGATGATGACTGTGGCGCCAACTTCTGAAGCCATGAGCTCGAGAGTCCGCAAGGAGGAATCCATCTCGACTCGCGTCAGCCCAACCACAGTACCGTCATCTGACCTCATCAGCACAAAAACCCAGACCACGCGCGACAACTCACCAGCCAGCCCAAATTCGTATATCGCCTCATTCTTGCCCTGCTTCAGCCTCCACATCATCTGCGTCACCAGTCTCTCAAACCTCTCGGTCGTCGGATCGATAAGCTTCAGCTTGTACTCTATAAACCCCATCTTATCGCGTTCCGCCGCGAGCTTTGGCGTAGGGGATCGACGAGGGTGCACAAGTTGATGTCGGGTAGCGGAGGAGGCCGGGTGTGAGAGGCGCTGCTCCCATTCGCGTAAAGCGAGAGAAGAGATGTTGGGGGGCGTGGAGGGGTTCGACGCGGTGGACGGAGTAGAGGGGATGGATGGTGTAGAATCACGGTGAGATGGTGGGAGAGAAGCGGCGGACAGGGAGTGGGCGATATCGTGCCATGGAGAGGGGCGACGGGAGATATCGGTGGGCCCGACATGGGACGAGGGCATGATGGACAGTGTACTCATGGTGGCGGCAGTGGAAGGGGTGAGGGGGGTAACCGTATGATCATTCTGGGTTGTGTGAATGCTTAGAACATAGTCGAGGTAAGATATGAGGGGAATTGTTGAGATGAAAGAGAGGAATAAGACGTCGATTCAAATGCTCCTTTCATCATCGACTCGGCGGCGGCGGCGGCTGTATCCGGTAGGCCGACCTTACGTAAGTCACTTGCTTGTATGTTTGTCCACCACCGCCGCTCTCATGCATCATGTATGCGTTCTACAGCAGGGTCGCGTACTGAACCCCATTGACCACCGTGATGCCAGCTGATCGCGCTGCCACGTCGTTGAAGAAGCGCCGCGGACTGGCTTGTGAAAGGTGTAGGAGCCGTAAACAGAAGTGCAAGTCGGCTATCAATTCCGAGCGATAAGTGATTGCTGACTCTCTATCATAGGTCTGCCAGGTTCCGAAATCAGATGTAAGAATTGCGAGAATGCCAAGGTGGACTGCAAGTTTCTCGAAAAGACACCTCATGAAGTGTACCTGGAAAGATATACAACAGAGCTGGAAGACCGGGTACAACAGCTCGAGGGGTACATTCAGGCGCAGGCTTCGTCTTCTCGTCAGCACCAAGCAGGACCAGAACATACACAACCATCTCAAAGGAGACCTCACAGTGCCGATGGAAGGGAGGGCGGGGAGAATCTCGCGACAGGTGTCGGCTTTCTGAGTCTCAATGTAAGTGGCTGATAAGGCAAGAAAGGCGGAAAGCTGACTAGCAGGCCGGAGCAGAGCCGGTGTATCTTGGAGGGAGCTCTGGTGTGGGATGGGCAACAGTACTGATGCAGTGAGTTGCACCATATGTCATGTGCGCGACTGACGTTCTCAGGTCAATGCGCCAAAAGTTCATATCTGCCCGCCCGAGAGTACCTCGTCCACCCCTCGGCAACCCCGTCTCTCCCCAGTCATCCAACGACCACTCTGTATCTCTACCCCCACCCCCGTCAGAGGCAATCGGTAACCATTACATATCCACCGTCTACGTCTGGATACAGTCGCGATACGGCTTTCTCGACTGGGTCGCTATCCAAAGATGGCAAGCAAATGCAACAGAGCTCTGTATGCTGCAGCCGCTTCAATGGAAAGACGGAGGACTGCCAGAGGACGACAAGGTGAAGGATTGCTACGGCGCTTTCTTTCTTTGGATGATCTACGGCCTCGGAGCGAAATTGTGCGAGCGAGACCCACACATCCCCCATGCGTCCCACGAAGTCTACTACAATGCCGCTTTGGCACACTTTTCACCTTTGTCGACATACCAGTCGATCTCCACCGTCCAGGCACTTCTTCTTCTCGTCGTCTACATGTTCCGCCACACCTCCTCGGGACTGAACCTGTGGCATGCAGGTGGCATTGCGATACGCTCTGCTATTGAGCTGGGGCTACACCGTCGGATCAAAAGCGTTGCTGCGAGGGAGAGAGATCCGAGGGCGTATTGTATGCGGCAGCGGGTGTTTTGGGGAGCGTATATTCTGGACCGGTACCTTCATCCTCACCAGCCGGGGATGCTACTAACGCACCGCAGGATGATTTCGATACAATTCGGCCGGCCTTTCGCTGTCCAAGATAGAGACATCGACATCGAGCTACCAGTCAACCTTGACGCCAACGTCGCAGACCATGCTTCCCTATGCAGCTTACTTTCAGCGCAATCGACTATGCTTGAAACAGTCCGTCCCGGCGAGGAGTATCGAAATGGCTACGGAGGCTTCTCATCTGTACGTGCTTTGGACAAACCACTCTGTATCATGCTGAAACCCGTCGCGTCAAGATGACCTCCTTCATCCACACCATCCGTTTAAACCAAATCAAAACCAAGATCCACGAGCTCGTCTACACTGTCGATCACGCTTCGCCGCCAGATCAGCATGCTGTCAATGAGCTGCTTGACGAGCTTGAGGCTTGGAAGGCGACGTACCCCGCGGAGCTTGATAGTCGGGTGCCGGCGTGTTCGCAGGAATTTTTCGACCTTGAATACCACAATGTGAGTCTGATATTTTGCACACTGGTGCTATGCCCTGCTCACACTGCACGGAAAGTCTGTACAGATACTGCTCCGGCCGCTTTGCGCAAAGAAGGACGCGGCATTGTACTTTCTGCATAGGTGTGCTTCCAGTGCTGGGGCGGTGCTCGATGTGGGTTTTTCTCTTTCTCAATTGGGTAAAGCTGACAGTATCTTAGATCGAGTGCCAGCTTTTACGTCGAGATTCCAAAAATCTGGCCACATGGGTTTTGGCCAAGATTTTCATGAGGTATCGCCCACTTTGAGCATACTTTAAACATGACGCTGACCAAGCCGGATAGCGGTCTGACACTCTTACATGTTGTATGGAATTACCCCGACGTTCTCTCACCTTCTGTGGTCGCTCGCGCTTTGCGATCTTGCTCCACCTGCTGTACGTTTGCCATTCGGTACTAGGACACAGAGCTGATATGGAGCCAGTGTTTATATATGCCCAGCAATTCCCAGCCGCGGACTCTTATCACGACTGCTTTGAAGATCTTGTCAAAGTATACGACGAACGTAAAGATCACGCGCCGTCAAGCAACACAGCTACAAGGACTCCCCGATCTGGATCCAACACAGAAAGGTACGACGGCCTACATGCCCATGGTAATGTATGGACAGATAAGCTGGACGATTTGGGCGGGGGTATACCAGGACTGAGCGAAGATCTCGCTACGTACGCTCCTCTCCACTCTTCCCTTGACTAACGGCTAACCTTGTGGCTAGATTCATGTCGTCTATCGGATTCACCCAAGGATCAGAAACGCAAGCGTCATTCGTTGACCCAGCAACAGCACAGTATGGAATCATGCCCGGGCTGGATTCTGCCGGGGCCGAGATGCTGTGGGATTTGCCGTTTGATTCCTGGAATGGTAATCAAGATGTGAATCCGTCTTTTGCATTTGCAAGCTTGTTTGAACAGGATCAATTGCCAATGTCTGACGAGACTGCCTCCGAGCGCCGCACACAATGATTATCTGGTGATGCATATGTATGCATTCAGACTCGCAAACTGCAAAGCCAAGAAAGCAAACATAACTATTAACCTGCATCTCATCTTATCGTGCACATGCCTTTCCTATTTGAAAACAACAATCAATCAACAACCTTTCCTTTGCTACGAGGATATATACTTTGTGAGCTTGGATTTCCATTCTATCAAATGCACTTTGCCGGATATGCAAAGCCTACATCGAATACGGGTACAGCAGCAGCAGTGCATGAGAATGATTGTTGGTTGCGCCGTTGCTCGGATAGACGAGGTACTCGGAATCTCTCCCGAAGTTTGCGGGCCCGTCTGGTATAGTACAGACCTATTGAGTATGACTCGCGAAACAAATGATGAAGGCAAAGATGTCAATGTAGACGAATTTGATCCATTCTGCACCCAGCTATCATCGGCTACAACGGGGGCGGGAGCCCAGTCATATTAGCACTTCGCAACGCTTCCAAAGATTCACTCCACGAACCTACCAACCTCTGGAAATCTGGATTGAGATCAGCCCATCCTTCTTCATGGTACTGTCTTCTGGCCGTGGCATTGCCATCTCGCGTCTCCTCCAGCTGCTGCACAGTGACAACTTCAAGGGCGCCTTCCTGAATGTCCCGAAGTGTACCTTGGTTGAGATCCATGGATTCAACTATTGTCCTGACAGGCGCGGCCTCCGGTAAATTGTTTGGCTTTAGTTCCGGAACTCCCTCTATGTTTAGCTCTGAAACGCTGTCATCGAAATCGGCTTTGCTTTCAGTCATACGTGCCATGACCGTGTCCGGTACGCTGGTGCCCAGACTATCGCGGCAAATGGCCCAAGCCGCGAGCTTCGCACGACTGTTCCAGAAATTAAACTGTGTAACATCAACGAGGGTGAAATTGACACTCGGTCGGCTGTCTCGATAGTCGCTGACGAACTTTCGGTTCCACTCTGATCCTTTTCGCATCCAATCTACGCCTTTGACAGTCGACGTCAGCTCATCAAGCTCAAGGAGTCACTCGACACAGATACTGATTGGGACGTGCCAAAAAGAAGACCCACCTTGAAGGACGACTACGCAAATACGACAGCTGCCGCTGTATCACCGGATTCTGAGCAACTATCCCCGCCGCTTCTCTAACCCGCCCGACCTCTTCCGCCCAATAGGTAGTCAGGGGCGCTACACGCTGCCTGGCCTCAACAACCTCCTCCGGGTCCAGCTGTTGTTCTTCTTGCTGTTCGGGCCAGAGGATCTCCTTGTCTACGTCGGCGCCGTACGCTATAGACGAAGCGGACAGGAATGCGGGTACGCCTTCTGGGGCGGATGAGGTGAAGGTGTCGGTGGATGGGTCGTAGAACTTGAAGCTGTCTTGGTTGGCATCTTTCCAGCCTTCAGAATTATCGTCGAACATGACCGAGTTTGGGCTTCCTTGTGCAGTTTTTGTGGGAGGGGGCGAAGCCGATAGAAAATGAAGCGTGGTACTTGTGACTGGCAAAGAGGTCGGGTGCTTATGTAGTCCTTTGCATGTACGCTAATTCGTGGGCAATTGCCAGCTGTTCAACACCTTGTTCATCCGCATGAAAAGACTGTTCGAAGGCCATCTTTTGCAAAAAGAATCATGCTGCTAAAGGTGGAACAAGTGGCAATTCTGGTTCTATTTGAACACTTGCAGGGCCATATTCAGTTTTCCATGGGATTGAATACTCTGAAGAGCGAGCTGATACGACGGGATGTACAACGAACCAGTGACAAAGATGACAGACCAGGCTCCACCTTGGGTAGGACTGCTCTCAATTTAGAAAGTGGGTGTAGGTGACTAGAAAGTATGCGGGCGGTGACAACGCCGCATGATCCAATATAGATTTTCTACCCCTTTGTCAGCAGTTGGGTCGAATATGACCGCAGCTCCAAGATAACCATAGCTTCTGAACCTTACTATAACGGAGGGGATGGAACGAGTTCAAAGAGCCATACCAAGACAAGGGCAAGACCTGTGATTCTGCGCCGAGCTCTGACCATTTCTAGCGTTCTCGTGCTCGTCCTCCTCATAGCGGCGTTGAGAATGCGTACACTGCTCAACTCGTTGATAGTTCAGAAATCCGTAAAGCCTTCTCCTTGCGTCAACTCTGACCAAATCTACTATTGAAATATCTGAGGATGATCAGCTATGTATTCATCAAGTAATCTACGGAGATTGGTTGGGAGTGAGGTGTGGGGAGGCCGGAGCCTCGCCGCATCGGGTGCTTCATCACGGTCTTGCGCTTTTGTTCCATCATTCTCTGTGTAGCAGAGCTTCAAGTGCTGATGTCGTAGATGCACTTGGAAAGACGAAGGAGTGCCAGAGGACGACAAGGTGAAGGATTGCTACGCCGCTTTCTTTCTCTGGATGATCTACAGCCTGAGCAGGGTCTAATGCCGATGTCTGACGAGACTGCCTCCGAGCGCCGCACACGATAATCATCTGGTGATGCATATGTATGCATTCAGACTCGCAAATTGCAAAGCAAAGAAAGCAAACATAACTATTACCCTGCATCTTATCTTATCGTGCACATGCCTCACATGTTTAAAAAAAACAATCAATCAACAATCAGCGCGGCTGATTGATTGGTGCCGCCACACTCGTCATGCCCCGCACAAACCCCGGCCTCTCGTCATCATCGGTACTGCCAGGCGCGTCGTACGCGTCGTGCCATGGAACTCTGTTGGGCTGTTCAAGGTGGTACCTCATGCACTTGCGAGTCTCGCGAACTTATCCTTAGTCCACGCACTCAAATTGCCCAGGGGATAGAGCTCACAGAGCTTGAAGTGTACAAGTAGTTGCAAAAGAATCATAGTAATTCTACTCTTATCGTAGACTCTTGTAATTTAGGCTCGTATGGATGAAGAGTAGGCCGTATGTGTTAAGTGCTAAAAAAAGGGTCTAATTTGCTATATGATAACGATAAGATACTCTATCCCTCATAAAGAGTTATTAGTTTTAGGTATTAAGTATTTGTTGGGCATGAACTTTATATTTTAATACTCCTGTTGTCAAAGTTGCAGAAGAATAAGTAATAGTCTAAAGTTGAAAAAATTGTTCTTGTGTCAGAGTTTCTTTATTATTAGAATTAGACTACTTATATAAAATAAAATATTGTCCTAGTGTCTTATAAAGAATAAATAAGAACATAACACTTAATCTATTTAATCTATATATATAAGTAAATACTAGTACTAATTATTTATAGAGAGCAATAGTCTATAATGACAAGGCTTCGCATATTTTGTTATCCATTTCATAGGAATCAAGACAAGATTAATAAATTATTTAATGGCCTATATAAGTGATTATTAATGTAAATAGATTAAAGAATGAGATTGTTTTAAATAAGTATAAGTATATAAGAGAATATTCAAATATCAAGAAAAACATTGAAACGTCGTAGAGAATATCTAGGGTTTTTGGATCCATATGAAAAAGTTATATCTTATCACTGTAAAAGCCTTCTTTTCGTCGAATGAATCGAAACGCCTATAGGGCGAATTTCATTCTCCTGTAAGAAGACTTGGATTATTATATCTTTATTCACTCTTTGGACTTAGATATTAATTAAGTTTATTATAGACTACTTATGTTCTGCATATCCGTATATTGAGGCTATCGGTATATTAACTGTTTTGAAAGAGGTAGTATAATTCCCTGTATATACTATATGACGTTCTCTATAATTATGTCCGTTCTATATTTAAGACTATAGTAAAAATATAGAATATAGAGTGTTATTATCATTATAGAATATAAAGTATTATTATCATTATAGAATATAAAGTATTGGATAGAATATATGTATAGTATAATTAATTATAATCATCATAGAATATATAGACAATTTAGGATTATGATAAATTATTGATAGACTATGATTTCCTGTATATACTATTAGAAGTTATGTTAAATTATGTGTATACTTATATATTTATACCATTATATAATAAGTATATAGAATATTATTATCAGTATAGAGTATAAGTATAGAGAGTATTAAATTATAAATCAATGCAAAGTATATACACAATTTTTGAATATAATCAGAATTAGTGTAGAGTATGTGCATATATAGTATTTAATCATAATCAGTGCAGAATATATAGACAGTTTTGGAATATGACAGTTTTGGAATATGATAGATTATAGATAGGTTATGATAGCCAGTATATACTTATGTCCGTTCTTTATATTAGTATAATCAGTAATAGAATACATATAGAGTATATATAATTATAATCAGTGTATAATATATAGACAGTTTTGGACTATGATAAATTATTGATTGATATATGATAGCCTGTATATAGTATTAGAAGTAATGTTAAATTATATCTTTTCTATTTATACCATTATAGAATAAGTATAGAGTATTAGATTATAATCAGTATAGAGTGTATAGATATAGAGTATAGAATCATAATCAGTGCAGAGTATATATCTAGTATCGGATTATGATAGATTATAGATAGATTATAGATAGGTTATGATAACCTGTATATACTTAGAACCGTTATTGTGTATGAATCTATAATTATCACTCTACTATATTTCATTCTTGTAGTAGTAGTAGTAGTATACTTGAATATACTGAGGCTATCTTATCCTTATTACTCTTTTCATTCTTATACATATCATTCCTATAGTAGTATACATTAATATACATAGGTTATCATATCATATTCCTTATATATTTCTATACATGTCTTTAATAGAGTATTATACTTCTACAGACCCAATACTCTCTATATACTATTAACCGTTTTATGATATGTATGTATACCATATGTGTTCTATCATGTCCTATATATAATAATGATCTTTATAGACCAATATATATTTTCTATTAGCAAACTCTGTATATAGTTTTCATAGCTATATATATTTATGTTCTAATTAGTGCTATATCAGAATCTTATAGATATTTCTTTAGACCTACATATTAAACACTTAGAAGTAGAATATAAAAGCCTGTATGTACTTTTCAATGCTTAAGTGATTTTATCTTTGACCTAATGGATTCTCTATGATTTAATATAATTATAATGGTCGTAATACCGAATACCCAAAAAATCTCCATATACTTTACGCAGTTTCATATGTGATGTTATATAATATAAATATTTCTTATATATGAATTATTTATCTATACACTTTTCTATAGAGTCCATAGGGAGTCGAACCCTATAAAACAGATTTGCAATCCATCGTCGAGTAACCGCTCGTGTACTCTGTCTTATACATATTATTCTTATTTCTTATACAGAATATCCGATACATAGATTGGCCAATTATTTATGACATGATTATTACACTAAGTCCAAATTTAATAATCCTTGCGGAGCCGCGTAACCTCATTAATCCTTAACTTCCTAATCGCGTTCGAATCCAGAACTCTTCCTCCGCTCAATATTATTACTTTCTTAGGTATTCAATAGATTAGAGCAAAAAGTCTCTATATATTTTTCATACCCGCCGTCGCCGCAATTTCAGCGCGGTCTAGGCGGGCGGGCCGGACTTATGATTAGAATATCAGATTCATATACAATTATTACAGACATGATTATTACACTAAATCCCAAAACCCTTGCGAAGCTCTTCAACGTATATATTTTCGCATAGCTATTATATGGAATATCTGAGCCATTTCTTTCTCAACTTGCGAAGCCGCGTAACTTCCTTAATTTATAACTTCCTAATCGCGTTAGAATCCGCTACTCTTTCCCCGCTCAATGTCATTACTTTATTAGCTCTTTTTCTTCTATAGATTAGACCCGAAACTGTCTATATACTTTTCAGAGACCTATGATTAGAAATTCGTATTCCTTTTATTTCATTTCTCTTTGACCCTATACATCAACTCTATTTATTTCTGATTTTACCATTTCTATTAGACCCAAAAATCTAGTAATACTTTTCAAAGACTTTTAATTTATTCAGGACTATATAAGTGTGACGTCAGGTAGCTATGATTTGATTCATGACATTTTTGAATTATACTTTTATTTGAATCAATCTCTTTAAAACATATTTTTCATAGACCACATATCACTTTTCATATCACTTTTCATTATAACCCAAAAAACCTAGAGATACTTTTCAGAGATTTTGATTTTCTATTAAACCTGATTTCTCTTAGACCATTTTAGATTAGAGATTTCATGACCCCACGCAGAAGTTGTGGTAATTATTCCATTCCATTAGAGATTATTATTTCTGGACCGCCAAGCCACGCCCAAAAAAAAGATAGTTGTGGCAGGGTTAGTTTAGATTATATTGAATCTGATTTCTTTTAATATTAGATTAGATATTCTATTCATTTTTTTACTACCTTTTCTTTTTTTTATTAGTTCAGAGCTTATTAGACAGATATATACCAGGAA